AAGTGAAGACCGGCTTGTTTTACCCCATATTTGTTTGAAAAGTTTGGGTCATGTCATGTTTCGTCTATTACCCCGTGGAATATNTGATGTTCGTTTTCTGAAATTTGCTGGTTTCTAGGTTTGGAAATAGTAGTTTAGAATCACCGTAGTACGTTTTTCAACTTTGAATTTTTTTTTAAATTCTCGCTACTAAACCACTTATTTCCCGAACGTTTGCAAGTTTAATGTTGATCACATCTTATTGGAAATTTAACTTAGTTTTCAATGGTCTCAATGGATTTGCCCAAAACCTTTTAATTTTGAGGTTATTGTTTATTTGAAGCAAGGTCGTGAAATCTTAAAAAATCAGGAAAAAGGGAATAACTCCGAAACTGTTGAGATTCGGACGATTGTTAATTAGGACTTTTTGTTTCTTTTTGAATGTAAAATCTCCTGGCAAAGTTTGTTACACGAGTAGTCGAACAGCCTGTATAGTGTTTATATGTATGTGTTTGTGTGGTGTCTGTGTTTGTGTTAATTTATTGGATGGAATGTCATGCATTAGCGTGAAAGGAAGGGATTGTTTAAACCCACCCCGGGACATATCGAGTACTTTGGGGCGAGTGGAGTACCTTGGAGAGTAAAAGTAAATTATTAGCGAGAATGGAGTGGTTTTAACACTGCAAGGAGGATTACCGACAAATTTGGAGTGAGTGTGACGTCTGGAGAGTAAAAGTAAGTTATTGTTGGCATTTTGAGTTGTGGATTTGGATTTATCACTACCAGGAGGAATATCGAGCGCTCTGGGGTAGTGTAAATGAAGCCTATTGTGTGCATGTTATTTATTAGCGTGAATGGCAGGACATCCCCGATTAGACGGAGGAATGTTGAGTACTATGGGGTAGTGCGAGCGAAGTCTGTTATGTGAATATAATTTATTAGCGAGAATGGAGGGGCGTATTCCCAAATTACCCCCTGGAGTATCGCGTACTCTGGGGTAGTGTGAATGAGTAGTGGAGTGTGCGTGTTATTTATTAGCGTGAATGACAGGGCTTATCCCCGATTACTCAGAGGAATATCGAGTACTCTAGGGTAATGTGAACGAATTCTGCTGTGTGGAAGTAATTTATTAGCGTGAATGGACGAGCTTATTACCAAATTACCCTTCAAAGATCTAAGGCTGCCTGTTCCTATGTCCGTTTCCGGACTTACATAGGATGGTCGTGCAACCATATACCCCTGAAGGCCCAACCCTCACGTCACTAGGCGTTAGCCACGGCTGCAGCCGTGCCCAGGATGGACAACGGGGGGTGCGCCTAGTCGGGATATGACTTGAGGGTCGCACCTTACAAATATCTTACGTGCTAATGAGGGGTGCCCAATCTCCCCGTACATTGAACCCCGCCCAGGAGAGAAAGAGAGTGGGCACCCATCGTATATACTAATACTATATATACAATAAGCTAAAATATGTTTATATGTACAATTAAATCTAATTTATCACTCACTGATACTTAGATTAACACATACACTGACACTTATTCGTCACTGTTGGGTGGTGTTGGCCATCCTTTTATTGTCATCATCTGATACACAAAGCGTTGGTGGCCGCGAATCCTTCCTTTGACATTATCGCACTGGATATGGCTCGGACGTCACACTCTATGGAGCACGCTTCCCTTAACCATCTGTTTTTTGCAGCCGAATAAGCCGGGCACTCCGAAAAAGTGTGGTCTAGTGTCTCTTCAGAACCGTTAGAGCACTGAGGGCACTCCGCCGTGTTCCGCATGCCGAATTTACACAAATACGTCCCAAAATCACCATGCCCCGTAAACAGTTGGGTCATATAATGGTCTGTTTCGACATATTTACGTTTTAGTCTGTCACTTATAGAAGGCATAAACTGATGGGTACGACGGCCTTTGTCGGTTTCATCCCATCGTCTCTGCCACCGCAATTCTGTTGATAATGTCTTTCTTTTCCGCCGGTTCTATTCCTTGCGTTCCTTCATAGATTCTACGCCGTTTTTCAACTTCTAATGTAATTGAGATTACTCCGGCAATTACACAGAGAGCTTCCGTAGGAGCAGTACGGTATGCTCTAGTGATTTTTAGTAAATTACTAAATTACCCAGAGGAATATCGAGTACTCTGGGGTTGTGTGAATGAGTTGTGGTGTGTGCATGTTATTTCTTAGCGTGAATGACAGGGCTTATCCCCGATTATTCAGAGGAATATCGAGTACTCTAGGGTAATGTGAACGAAGTCTGCTGTGTGGAAGTAATTTATTAGCGTGAATGGACGGGCTTATTCCCAAATTACACAGAGGAATATCGAGTACTCTGGGGTAATGTGAAAGAATTGTGATATGTGCGTGTTATTTGTTAACGCAAATAGGCAGGGCTTATCCCGATTACCCCGAAAACTATCGAGAATTTTGAATCAATGTGTTACGTCTTGAGAGCAAAAGTAAGTTATTAGCGAGAATGGAGTGGTTTTAACACTGCCACTAGAAATGTCAAGTACTCTGGGGAAGTGAATGTGACCAGACTTTTATGTTTGTATCACGTTCTGTACGGTATGTCCAGTGTTTATTCTGTTGTTTACAACCAGAGATACAAATGAAAGGCTAGCATTTAGTTTTCATGAAAAAACAAAGAATCAGTAATAGATCGTGGCGCTTAAATGGCTGCAGGCTTAAAGATTCGCGTGAAAGACCAAAAAGAGAAGTAAAAACACGCAGAGGGCCGGTGATGACTTCGGCTGTTTGTCGGCCCATAAACTTTCCACATTATTATTATTGTTAGGTATTTTATAATTATAAAAGTTAACGCTTACAATATTAGCGATTTTCATAATTATTTTATCGCGAACTTATAAAAGCTTGAATTCCNTTATTACCAAATTACCCCGAGGAATATCGAGTACTCTGGGGTAGTGTGATCGAAGTCTTTTGCGTAAATGTAATTTAGTAGCGTGAATGAAAAAGCTCGTCTCCCAAATACCTCGATAAATATTGAGTACTCTGAGGTAGTGTTAATGAATAATGGTTTGTGTATATTATTTATTAGCGTGAATGGCAGAGATCATCCGCGACTACCCCGAGGAATATCGAGTACTCTGGGGTAGTGTGAACAAAGTTTCTTGTATTAATGTTATTTATTAGCGTGAATGGAAGAGCTTATCCCCGATTACACCGAGTAATATCAAGTACTTTGGGTTAATGTAACGAAATCTGTTGTTTGAATGTAATTTATTAGCGCGAATGGAGGAGCTTATTACTACATTTCCCCAGGAATATTGAGTACTCTGGGCTAGTGCGAATGAATAATGGTGAGTGCATGTTATTTACTAGCGTGAATGGCAGGACTTATCCCCGAGGAAAATCGAGTACCCTTCGATAGTGAGAACGAAGTCTGTTATGTGAATGTAATTTATTAGCGTGAATAGAAGGGCTTCTTCCCAAATTACCCCGAGGAATATCGAGTACTCTGGGAAAGTGTGAATGAAATCTCTTCTGTGAACGTAATTTATTAGCCTGAATGGAAGGCAAATCCCCAATTAGCCAGAGAAATATCTAGTACTCAGACGTAGTGTGATTGATAACCAGATTATGTTATCTTTTTTCTGTATTTAACTGTATTTGTATTTTTTAGTTGTGTTATTTTATCACGAAATTGACAAGGCCCTGAGGTACAGAAAGGCTAGGAGGATAAAGGAAAGAGTGAATTGCTAACCATGGTATAACAAAATAGTTTGTTTGCAATCATGCCGATTCTTTATAATTACAAAAAAAGCTGTATCGTCAATAAGCTACTTCAGATTACAAAATATCAGTTAAGAAAATATACAGAGAAAATATTACCAGTGTTAAAATCCTAACACTGGCCATTTTTTGCTAGAATATGATGGCATTCCTAAGCATAACGGTTTTCTCAAAAAGGTCAAAGGCATTCAAATTGGCTGCACCTACAGACGTATCAAAAGCCTCTGCTACAGTCAACCATCTCTTGTTAGCCAAACTTGAATCCTATTGTGATCATGGTAAACTACTAATGTGGTTGAACATTTATCTTACAGGCAGATCTTAAATGCATTAAAGGAAATCCTACAAATCGGAAAAAAAAAAAAAAAATTGGTCACTGGTATTTCTGCAAGGATCTCATTTAGGACCACTCCATTTTAATATTTCATTAACACCAAAGTAAGTTCCTTTCCTTCTATTTGCGTATGACCTAACAATTTATCAATCCACGGAGTCCTTCAACTCACGATTTCACTTTTGCAACAAACTCTTCATGCTTTGAGTTGTGTTCCCAAATCAGATAATAAAACAGACAGAAATGAACAGCATAAAACAGGTAATTTTCATTACAAACTCAATTTCAGTTATAAAATGTAATTTTAATTGATCACTATCAACGTAAAAAAAATCCATGTGAAATAAATGGTTGCCAACATGCAATAATATATTTACATAAAATTACGAATTCAAGAATACTATTTGCATTTTCATATAAGCTATATATGAAACTAGACATTTACAAATCATAGGCCAGCTACACATTAGACATTAATAAATAGTTAAATATTTTATGTTTATTTCTCAAATAACATAGTTTTCATTTTATACAAATGTACATATACTAAACAAGGGAATGTAAAATTTACACAAGAGTCGGTCACAATTGAAAACTTACAATTTAACACTTTCAACTAATTAATTCACCATTAAATTTACTATACAATTAATTCGATTAGGTTTCGTGGTCCGATTGACCGAATAATTTTTTTTCAATTAATTCATCTTTAATGACAAAAAGGAGGGAAAATTCAAAAGGTCAGGTTGGGATGGGAAGTTGGTATCTGAATCGATAGTTCAAGTGGTAGAGCAGCGGCGTATTTAGCCGGTCGTGGGTTCGAATCTTGCTCGTGACACTGAATTTTTTATCTCAACCAATACCTTACTTAAAGATTAATTAATTGAAAAAAATACACAATTAATATTAATTCACTTTGGAAGAAAGAATTCTTTCTAATTTTATAAACTACAATTGACAGTTAAGTCAATTTTATAATGAAAAAAATTAGGATTAAGTTAGTATTATAAGAATATGTAGTTAATCAGTGCCATAAAATCATATTTTTATTAGGATTTTTGTTTTATTTTCGAACTTTTACAGGTTATAATTTTCTGTTGTTTCATAATTTTATATATTTATGAAGAAACTAAAAAAATTCATATTCTTTAAGTCAACACAGTCTACACAAACTGAAAATTTTACATTGTACAAAAACTATACAATTAATTTTAAACAAATGTAATTTAAAAATGGAAATATTAGCAAGGAAGCAATGCATGATCATATTTTCAAAAAAGTATGGTTCATTTTTTTATTTACATTTTTTTTTAGAATCAATCATGAAATATAATAATTATGTGTGTGTATATATATAAACTATCAACACACATGTAATTATATAAGAGATAAAACTTTATACATAATGTAAATGTTTATTTATTTTTCCAACGAAAAGAGGGTACTTTGTTTGTAGTATACAAATAAATATATCCGTTATTTAAATCATATTAACAAATTAATTTACAGCCTGTTACAAATCTAATTCTGGGAAGATATGCTAATCTCAGGATAGCTGATCCTCATCCAGCCCTGTCATCTTTTCGCAAGCATCTGCGTCTGAGTTTTCCGTGATGACTAGGTGATTATTTCCTCCTAAGTTGAAACAATTGCTGTCGTCCACGTAAAACAGTTCAACCGATGACTGAAATAGTAAATTGAAAGCTGACTATAATTATAATAAATTTGGATTTTTTTTTTATAACATCTTATTGAATTAAGATAGAAAGTCTAACCCTCAGAAAAATGTGTTTCAGCATTTTTTAATAATAGCAAGCACAAATTAAATATGACACGTTCTGAAAGACAGAAGAGGTCTATGATTATGTTCAATTAATTAAGGTTTTGGTTGAGATAAAAAAGTCAGTGTCACGAGCGGGATTCAAATCCACGACCTTCGGCTAGATACGCCGCTGCTCTACCACTTGAGCTATCGTGACTTCGATCCACTCAGACACTAACTTCCCATCTCAACCCCACCTTTTTGAATTTTCCCTCCTTTTAAAATCTATGATTATGATTATAACAAATTAAATCATAGGTTTCAAACACAATTTAAGAATTATTATCTACTAAAAATTCTTCAGAGGGAAACAGCTGTAGCATAATGGACAATATGAGTAGTGGATATATTGTTTTAATAATGGCCGAGGCAGCTCGTAAAATTTGCACTGTATTCGGCAATGAAACAATAAATAAATGTACTGAAAAGTGGTTCCACAAGTTTTCTGGGATTGAGGGGATTAAAGACAAACCACGGTCTGGTAGACCTGCCTTGAAGCTTGAAGAGCTCACCAGTGTTCCACGTAAAAAAAACATTCGCTCTAGCTTATATCGACTTGCTGAGCAAATGGGTATAAATTGACCAACCATAAAGAACATCTAAACATTTTCACAGCACAAAATTTTCTCACCAGATTGTCACATACGATGAAAAGTGTATTAGGATGTGCTAAATAAAAAGTTACACAAAAGTCAGACAAAACAATATTAACATTTTTTCTAAATTATCCATGGAAGCTCAGAAATAAAAATAATTTAATATTTTTATAATGGACTACTTACAGATAATAAATCTTTTATCTCATCATCACTGAAAACTTTAACTGTTTGGCCATCTTGACCTCCAGGATGCTGCTGATCCTTTCCATTTTTCAATACTTTAATTGGACTAAAATTTGTACTCTAAGAGAGAAAAAAAAAGAAGAATATTAAATACATATTTAGAATCACCTTTAATAAAAGTTACATACTGGTTGATATCCATCTAAAGATTCTTCACTCAAAGGTTCCGAAAACATGAGGTTATTCGGCTGAAAAGGAAAATCATCTTAATTATTTTAAAAGATTCAATTCAAAAGCAGTATTGTAATAATCTAAAACATTTAGAACATACGTTAGTACTCATTGACTGAAGAGGCAACCCTTTCATCTTTTTCCTCCAAACAGCTCTACATTTTGAATCAATGTTTTGTTTGATTTTATGCCATTCTTCTTCCGTTATATTAAACTTGTAGATAAGATGACAACGTATGGCATAAATCTAAAATTGTAAAATTATAATAAAAATGATAAATATTATTAGCGATGTAGTTAGAAGACCAACCAACAATGGGTCTAGTTGCTCTTTACAGTGTTTTCCTTTTCCTGATAAATTTGAAACGGCTAGGACTTCCCGAGGGAATAAACAGTCTAAAAGTGTTAACGCCATTTTCTGCGGTGTATGGCACCTCTCGTTTATATGGAAAAGATTGCTGAAAAAATAAAAACTTTTTAGCGACGAGAAAGAAAATGTTTTAATCGAGACTTACGAAGGTGAGATTTTGACTCGAACACGACATTTCGGATTGTCCTGATCACCGAGCCAAGAACCATCCGGTATTTCTTCTTCGGTATTAAGAACTATAACCTGGTGAGAGTTTCTCGTCTCGACAGATTCATTTGTTTTGCCATCATTCAAAAGGATAACTGGAGCATTGCTAAATACAAATAAAGCACAATATAAATCTTATTATAAGTAGAAATTTACATTCGACATACACTGGGTCAAAAATTAAATTAGTCATTTTTCATGACTCATCCGATTACTTCTAATTTAGCTTTTTATAAATTTTATCTTTTTTAAGCCTCTAAAATATTTTTCTTGTGTTTCGATGTCGTACATAGGTGCATACCTGTTGACGTATGTACATACTTTTTCCCTGAATGAAATAAATTTTACGTACGTTATAGTATATTGAAAAATTATTGGGGAAAAAAACTTAATAGAAATTCTGAATGATGGAGTCAGTGTGAAGTTCAATCCTTTTTAAATTTAAGCCTTTGTTTAATAAATTGTTTCCTTCTTTATTTAGTATCATGTTTGTTAAGTTTACAATGTTTAAATGTTTTTTTTTTCTTTTTTTACAATGTTATGCTTACCATGTTTTTTAAAAAGGAAAAAACTTCAATATGTGTTTAAGTTCATACATACCACTGAGTTAGAAAAAAATGTTTCGAACCTTGAAATTCAAGGCGTTTCCTATCATCAACTGCTCTCGTTATCCACGGTGATGATTGGTACGATTCCACTGGGATAACGAGAGTCTACTGCATGTGGCTGGACAATTTATGCTGTTTACGCTATTAATTTTGTCCAAATTGTTATTTAGTGGTGTTCGGTCTTTGACTTTGAACAACTTTGAAAAAGGGACTGGGTACAATTTTGTGATTTTTAAATATTTTGATGTAATCTAAGGATAGAAATATACATATATAGAAAGAATCTGTGTGTGATTGAACTGGTGATGTGTTGTTCACTGTGGAAAATGTTTGGTTTAATTTTTTATGATTCTGTTATGTTTTTGTGGTAGTCATTGTTTTGTAGAATTTGTTCATAGGCCTGTAAATTTTTTTAGAGTAAAGATTCACGGCTTATGGTAAGGTAATGAGTCTGTGTAAGTCCGTTACATGTAGAGTTCAAGTCTTCTTTAAGGTCTTTACTAAGTGAAAGAAAGACAAAAGTGTTGGGATCACCAAGCTTTCAGCAACATTATGTTGTCATCATCAGGGGCTATTTATTAAAATAAAAAAATATACATAATTAATATAAATTCAACAATTAAAACAATAATGCATACTTTCCCAAGAGAGGAGAACAAAAAATGTTATTAAATTCACTAATTTCGTGGTCCACTTGACCAATTAATATATTACAATTAATTAAGGTTTGTAGTTGTGATAAAAAAGGAGGGAAAATTCAAAAGGTGCGGTTGCGATGGGAAGTTGGTGTCCGAGTGAATCGAGGTCACGATAGCTCAAGTGGTAGAGCAGCGGCGTATCAAGCCGAAGATCGTGGGTTTGAATCCCACTCGTGCCATTGACTTTTTTATCTCAACTAAAAACCTAAAAACCTCAAACCAACAAAATTAATTGTAAAAAATGTTGTTATATATAAATTATTATTTTTGTCAATTGTTAATGTTATATGTGAATAATTACTCACTACTTTACATAGATGTCTTGTTCACCATGTATAACTGAATGCTGGCCATGTGCTTCATAACCTAAACCAAAGCACTTTTACAATAGTTTTTGCCAATGAGAAATTTTTTTTTCCTCTCTTAGGAAAGTATGCATTATTGTTTTAATTGTTGAATTTATATTAATTATGTATATTTTTTTTTTATCTTAATAAATAGGCCTTGATGATGGCAACATAATGTTGCCGAAAGCTTGGTGATCCCACACTTTTGTCTTTCTTTCACCTAGTAAAGACCTTAAAGAAGATTTGAACTCTACATTGATTATCTGCAGGTAGATCTACAAACGTCATTTTTCCGTTAGATGTGTTTATTTTTGTATTTATAACTGGAGGTGGTAATTAAGACCAAGGTAGGCCAACTTTTGGCGGGAGGATGTTTCGGGGTGAGCCAACCAGCAGTTGGGTTTTAAACGCGCATCAAAGTGTTCGCTTTGTTTATCTCCATGTAAACTTGTCTCGAGTATGAGAATGAACCAGGACTGCATTCGACTTATCCGAAAGTATCACAGCTACCCAATTTGTAGGTTGCTAAAGATAAAACCCATCATAGCAAGAACAAGAGAGAGGATGCATGGAAGGAAACGAGCGTAAAAGGCATGCTTGCTTTTGCAAATTGGCAGCTAACCTCGCCTCATGGAAATGATTAACCAAAGACGGTGTTTTATGGCTGATTCTCATGTTTAGTTATGCAAGTGATTTTTTTGAACAAAGTAAACCCAGCTTAAAAATATTATTTTGATATCTGTTTTGATTTCATGAGTGAACGAGAGCTGTTAAATTTATTTAATGTTGTTTTTATTTGGTGGTTTGCATAGGAAATAACCCATTATTAAAACAAACAATGAGAAAAAACCTGTATGAGATGTATATATAGATTATTCCACCAATGAGAATAAAATCTTTTGTTTTATTAGGAATATATAACCAGTCTCTGACCTTTTGGTATTCTTTAATATACAGTTATAAAAAGAAATTCAACATAAAATGCAAGGAAAAAAATAATAGGTCAAGAATCTAAAAGAAATGTCTGGTGTTTAGTGACCGTTTAGTTTAGTTTAGTGTAGTTTAGTTAATTTAAATATTCATTGGACGCTAGTATCTTCCTTAAGTCAAATGCCAAGATCGTCGCTTTCCAGCCAACTTTTGACAGCTAGGTCGTTTCAGCCCACAACACATATAAAATATAATCTAGCCTAAAACTAACTTCTAAAATAGAGTCACACAAATAAATACACTCACACTTATATATATTGCAGTCATTTTGGTTAGTCAGTGGAGTACTCTATATTCGCCCAACAATCTACACACAATAATGTAATCTAAATAACATCGATGGGGTATTTTTATAAATATTGTGCCTTCAACCCTAAACGTACACCTCAAAGAAGCCAACTCTTCATGTAAAAATGTTTTTCTATACTACTTCCTTCTCCACCCCTTCAAAATCCAACATATATAAACATAAAACATTAATAAATCACTGGCATACGACACACAATAATGACACGCAGAAAACAAACACTTTGAGTGAGTACAAATACTTTGAGTCTAAAATTTCAAGCGTTGTAAAAATTAATTTGTTCACATCCTACATGTATTTGTATAATTAAAACAATGTTTATAAATCCCAGGCGCTGAAAATGATCTCAATAAAGATCGAAACGTTGGTAAGATAAAGAGAATATTTTTCTAAAACCTACGCCACACCAGACCGCATCTCATGATCTCCAAATAATCATTCTGAAAGAAATTTTTAGTTATGTGTACAGATTTTCTTGCCCCAGTGAAGTTTATTTTATATTTGTTTTTTACAGGTCAAAAAACCGTTTCTTAAAATAAAAAACATATTCAAAAGTAAGGAGAAAAAATATACAAGATAATGCTTATATTACAATTAAGGTTTTTAGTTGAGATAAAAAAGTCAATGGCACGAGCAGGATTCGAACCCATGATCTTCGGCTAGATACGCCGCTGCTCTACCACTTGAGCTATAGAGCAGTGGCGTACCTAGCCGAAGATCGTGGGTTCGACCCCCCCCCTTTCCATTGACTTTTTTATCTCAACTAAAAACCTTAATTAATTGTAAGATATTAACTGGTCAAGCGGACCACTAAATTAGTGAATATAATGCTTATAACTTACTCTATATTAATAAAGAATAAAACACTACACATCAATGAAAAATACAATAAAATCCTTATAAATAAAACAACGTAAAGATTTAATTAAACCCCCTATTAATTATAACGACTAGGAATTATTTTTAAAAAAATATAATAAATATTTCCATTATATTGAGTGGTCTGATTGACCGAATTAAATCTTTCAATTAATTATCCTTTGTATGTAAGGTCTTGGTTGAAATGAAAAAGTTAGTGTCACGAGTGGGATTCGAACCCACCCGGCCGAAGGTCTGTTTTAGGCAGAATAGGGGGGATACAATAGCTCTTAAAGGGCGCAGTATATTACACCCCGGCTAATACTACTTCTACATCTACATCTACATGTTTTGATCAATTCGAAGGTGTTGGATATACAGATTACACCTGACAACCACTATAGCGTCCAAAATTTTGATATATTAGCAAATTAGTGACTCTGGCTGACGGTTTTAATCCATGTTTGTGTACACTTATAAATTTTAAGTTCTTTTTTGTAGACCTTTTTCTTTCATTGTGAATAAATTAAGGTTTTTAGTTGAGATAAAAGTCATGAAAAAATGGCAAAAAGGAAAAATTCAAAAGGTGGGGTCGAGGTCACGATAGCTCAAGTGGTAGAGTAGCGGCATATCTAGCCGAAGGTCGTGGGTTCGAATCCCGCTCGTGAAACTGACTTTTTTATCTCAACTGAAAACCTTAATTAATTGAATGATATTAATTTCAAGCGGACCACGAAAAATAGTGAAATTGTAATACAATTATCTATGGGTCAAATTAGTAACTGTAGTTGTCACACAATTCAATACTAAGTGACATTTTGGTCTTTTTTTTCATTTTAATCTTGTAATTTGTTAGGGTTTTTATTTTTAATCCTGCTGAAAAACATCAACGTAAAATAGGAAAACATTGACGTTTTGAATAGGTATAAATTTTAATTATCAGTTTGGACGATGACTTTTAACGAAGTGTTAGTGTTAATAGATGACATCGAGTATTTCGACATTAGATTGTTTTTCTATGATAGAAAAATAGATAAAAGTGCTAAATAAATTTTTTTGTAAATTTTGAATTACCTGTCGGTTTTGTCTTTGTAAATGTCAAGTTTCGGAAATGCTGTTATGAACTCTTCGATCAGATTCAATTTGTTGAGCACGAGGGTCGAGCAGCATTCGTGCTCGTTGTTCTTTCCCTCGAAGTAGCTCAGAATCGAAGAGCAAGTGTTTATGAGGATGTCCATCTTTTTTTCGAGCACAGTTATCCTGTTCTCGAATATATTTTTGATGTCTTCGAAGTGTTTCGAGTAGCCTTTGGGCTCGATTAGGATCCTTTTGAGTTCTGTCATCGGGAGAGGATCAACAAGTGCGAATTGATTTTTTTTATTTGTTTTTAAAATCGGTGTAAAGAGAACAGCCGCGTATCCGGGCGGATGAGACTAGGCGGCGGTTGCGGATGAGCGGGCTCTGTCGGATATCAGATCAATCCCGATGTCTCTACTTCAAAACGGATGTTCGAAACATTCACTTTTATGAGTTCTCGCGGTTACGGAAAATCCTGGTTCGACGTAACCGATCTGAGAGGTAAGGATTCAGAGTACCAGACTCGCAAAGTCCGCCGACCGAGGGATATGCCAGCGCCCTGCACTCTGCATCGAACGGCAGAACGATGAGGGCTGCAGACGTGGTAGATTGAACGCCTGCCTCGGTAGAGGGCATCACACGTGGGAAGAGTTCCGTCATCACTCATCATATCTATCACAATACATTTGCACACAATTTGCAGATTTCAAGACAATCTTATTATAAAATATGTAATGAAGACTTTATATATTTTCACTATCAAAGGGCAAAACTATCGATCAATCATGATGGATAAATTACCAGTACCTATAAAAAATCTATTTAACTATGCTCACCAATTTATTTCATATTCAGCTGAAGACAAAATTGATTTGATTACTATTATGTTAAATATAATCATAAAAAAATGCATGAAAATTAAACACTTTTCATTTAAAATAACCCTTTTTAATTAAACATTTATCCTTTTAATTTCAAAAATAATCTTTTTATATTTTATCATTAAAATAACTTTTTTTAATTTCAAATAACCTATTTTTACCTTTAAATTAACTTATTTTTATTCCAGTTTAACCTTTTTAATTTTCAAGTTAATTTTTTACCATCAAATTAACCATTTTTAATTTGACACTAGGCCTTTTTCTAATTTAAAATTTACCCTTTTCAAATTATTACTTTATTACTTTTAAATTAACTTTTTAAGTTCAGATTAATCCATTTTAATTTCAAATTAAGCTTTTTGAATTAAAAAATAACTTTTACCCAACCAGATTAACCGTTTTTAAATGAAAAATAACACTTTTAGCTTCAAATTAACCTTTTTAATTTAAAATTAACTCTTTTTAAATTCAAATTAGTCAATTTGAATTTTTTTTTTTTACCCACAAATTAACCTTTTTTAACTTCAAATTAACTTTTAAAATTTCAAATTAATCCTTTTTATTTTCAACTTAACCCTCTTTAATTTCAAATGTGCCTTTTTGAATTAAGGAATAACTTTTTTCCAATCAAATCGGCTGTTTTTTTAAATGCAAATTAACCTTTTTTTAGCTTCAAATTAATTTTTTAAATGTCAAATTAACTGTTTTTAACAATAAACTAACCGTTTTGAATTTCAATGTAACTTTTTATTTTCAAATCATTTCTTCTACTTTAAAAAATAATTCAAATAATTATTTTTAATTTCAAATTAACTTTTTCCCCCCTTTAAACTAACTATTTTTAATTTCAAATCAACCATTTTTAATTTTAGCTTACTTCTTTTAATTTTTTTTACGTTTTTTATGTTTAATTTTAAATTATCAGTTTTTTACTTCAAATTGACCCTTTTTAATTTCAGCTTAACCTTTCTATATTTCAAATTAACTTTTTGCCTGCAAATTATCTCTTTCATTTCCACTTAACCCTTTTTAATTTCAACTTAACCTTAAACATTTCAAATTAACTTTTTTCCCTTAAATTAACTATGTTTATTTTTAAATTCTTAATATCCATATCATCAACATCACTGCCAGGAGCAGTGACAGCAGAAGTCGCTGAATGGAACTCCGAGGAGTACCAGTACGTGAGTCGAGGCATCCTCTCTTGCTATGTCATTCTTCACATTGTGCTTTACGTGGAGTCTAGCTGTCCCCTAGGTTTAATTTTTACAGTATGTCCAATATTGGTGTCATAACAATAAATAGTCCCTCAACTTAAAAAAAAATTTTAACTAGTTACTTTTGATCATTCCATTTCTATCACTGTGAAATATTATAAACCATTTGGGATTTACATTGAATGATTATTAAATTGTGCAACCAATTCTTGATTATGGATGTCATTTGGAATCCATACATGAGACAATCTTCTTCAGATGTCTATTTAGTTTGCAGTGTTCTGTTAAAAATCCTGTTTTTCCTACTTCCTTTAGTGCATACTGTTACATCTTTCCTTCTAAAGTTTGATAAGTTTTTGGATTGTCTGTGCCCAATTAACTTAACTTTTTTTGTTCCCTCATTTTCTTTTTATTCTTCTGTCTGAGGTGTTCATTGATAGTGTGGATTACAATGCCACATAAGGGCTCGGGTCTTATCAGCGGTATATCGGCTCCTCTTCTTGCAAGGGCATCCGGTTTCTTGTTGTCTTCGACTCCCACATGTCCTGGGATCCAGCAGAGGGTGTCTTTATTTTGCATAAGTAATCTGTTTAGTTTAGTTTTGCAATTCAGCACGATCTTTGAGCTAATGATGTCTGACCTTAGCTATATTCTTATTTTTGTACCCTCCGTTCAAATTAAGCTAGGTACATCTCACGATTGCATGGACCTAAGCTTGGAAGATACTGGTGTATTTTCCCATGGGTTCTGATTATTTGCTTCCACCTTCTTACATTCTAGATCCGTCTGTGTCATTCTTAAAGGAGGTGTTTTTCTCTCTTTCCCGTTCCTTTTTTTATAGTTAAGTTGATTTGGAAATTTGGATTAAACTCAACATCCTGCTCATGTCATCTCTTGGGGTCATTAGTATCAGGCTAACAGAGCTAATCAGGCTAATAGGTCTGTATCTGTCTGGTTGGGGACTTGCCAAATTGCAAAATGAGGATAACTACAGAGGTTTTCCAATATTTAAAAACCCGCAAAAAACTGTAAAAACCCTTTGAATTGAACCGGGCCTGACACTCGTGGAACAGTTGTAATGATACTTCGGCAGAAAGCCGCAGCAGCAGGTTCGTCCAAGTCCAACACTTCAACGTCAATCAAGTCCAGTTTTGAGGCTTCCAATTTGGCACTTTATGTTTTTTTGACGTTCTTTGATTTGTTTCTATTCCCAACGGATCGAGTCGTTAAGGTTCGTATTCGTTTTTTGTTTGGGTTATTTACCTATAATGGATTGTTATTAGGTCATCGTAAAGGTTCTTTTCATGTTAAAAGGTTAGTCTGTTTTATTTACCGATGTCTTTATTTTATAAAGTACGTAAATTATTGAATAACGTATTGTTCCATTTACTTTCAATTTAAAAAGCGGTATTTACTGCTGGACAGTTGTACTATCGCGGATGAGCAAATTTATAAGTGTAACATGGTCGACTCTGTTCATCGGCTGTTCTCGCTGATGTCGGCTGTCAGAGGCTTTTCAGCATTTCACCGACATAAGTGATTGTTCGACCTTATTAAACAGAGAAGGATGATCGGAGTCGAACAAGTTACGATATGGTCACTTTCCAGCCCGGGACACGTTTTACACAATTCCAAATCACTATACTAATTTTCCTTGATGTTTCCAAAACCTTCGATTCAGTCGATCATGCCTCAGTCTTATCCAAAATCCTTTTCCTTCCAACAGTGCCATCCGATGGTTCCACTCTTTCCTTACCTGCCGCCTTCAAACAGTGACTTTTCCTAGTGGCCACACATCCTTCCTTTCCTTATCTTCAGGTGATCCTCAAGACTAGCATTTTCCCTCTTGTGTTTAGCATTTACATCAATGATCTCCCCTTTTGAGACAGTGGCTGCAATGGTTTAGGCATTGACAAGGCGCTCAACAATCCAGCGGCACTGCGTTTGAACCCAACATACTTACAATTTTTTTTAACTGGCACCTCGTAGTTGAAATACTCTCATAAAATTTGGAACAAACTGTTGTAAATAATCTCCCCGACTCCGTCAGCACTGCAGTTACTACCTCTATGCCGACGACTTCCAACTTTATGTCCTTTCAACCTTCCAACATTTGGCTGTGCCCAGAATTCAGGAAGAACTGAATTCAATAAAAGAATGGGCATATAAAAACAACCTAGAATTTAAAGGTAGAAAGTCCACAGTCACAACCTCTAATCCCTCCCTAGCCATCATTTCACCATCAACAACCAGCACATTTCCGTCTGCTCTACTGTGAAAAACCTCAGTGTTACTTTCAACCAAAACATTTCCCAAATTTCCCGACGCTGTATTGGATCTCTCATTCAGTTCTGCCGGTCCTGGCTCCTTCCACCTTTCACCACTCGTAAACTCCTTGTCTCCTTTATCATCTTTCCCCTCTTTGACTACAGAGTGTCGCTTATTTTGGACTTAAGGACAAACAAGAAGAGTGTCTGAAAAGTATGATGAATTGTGTCAGATTTATTTTCGCCACCTCCCAAATGTCTGGTCTCAAACAAGTTTTCAGATCGATCCTGGCTTTATCCCTCCATAGAAAGTATTTCCTAGGCTCCTTCTTTTACCAATCCATAAATTCTCGTCATGCTCACTATATTTTCAAGCTACCTAAGTTCCAATCGTCTTTCCACTCTCTTAACACCCGCTCTATTCCCATTGACCAACATCTTCCTCATCGGAAAACTTCCACATTTGAAAGGTCCTTCCTATCCCATGCAACAAATCTCTGGAATTATCTTCCTTCGCCAATCCGCCACCCTTTCCACTTTTAAATCCCACTGAACAAACACCTCATCTCCCTCCAAACAGAGCCAACATAATCTACAATATTATTAGTACATAAAAAGCATGTTTTCTTCCTTTTCTCAACTTCGAAGTTTACAGTTTGTGACATGTTCGCAAAAGACAGAATTCTATATTTTATTACTACTTTCCCCTAAATTCTTATTATTGCTACTATTATTTCTATTTTTATACTATTTTATTATGTGATTTATTTCAACTTATTTTACTTTATGTTAACGTTAAACCTTCATTAATTCAAGTGCTAGATTTGTACAAAATTTTGTGACTTTTTTGTTTTTCTTAGAGGTCCTAGAATAAAGTATTTTCTCTTTCTCTATTTAATTCCCACAGTTACATTATAGAGATGGTAGTTACATTACGAGATTTTTAACAAAATATAATTTTTATTTTCTAGAATATGTCTGATGAGAGTGATCAAGGGAGTGAGATTGGAAGTTTCCAGGGGAGTGATGCCGGTAGTGACGTTGGAAGCCCTCGAGGAAGTGAAAGTGACGCGGAGGTATAAAACAATACGCTTTCTTTGTTGAACGGACTGTGAATCACTGTCTTGATCTTTCTTTCATCTCTTACAATTAATATAGTTCAATCTCAAGGGGAAATTGAAAAATTCAAATTAACAAGTTTTTCGACTATTTGTGGTTCGAGCCTGTTAATCCACTCGCTGCGTCATACTTATTCCTATTTTTTTAAAAATTAATAATAAAAATAATGTTTTATTAATATTTCTCAAAAAACAAAAATATATACAAACATTGATAATGGTTAACCATCTGCCAGAATTCGCCCAAAATAATACAGTGGAAACCCGTTTATCCGGACCTGTTTGTTAAAATATTTTTTATAAATTATTTGGAGATCGTGTATAGCCATGATCATCAAATAATCATTAATTAACGGTCATTAAACACCAGACATTTTTTTAAAATTAATTTTTCATAGTTCTCAATGTATGTATATTAATTTTTAAAAATTCATAATTCCACTATGGGTCTTTCAATTCATCATTCAAAATTTGTAAAGGCAACCAAATCACCCTTCCACTTGTTACACGATCGAAGAGGCTGGAGAGTCACTTGTTTGTTTTTAATAATAAAATAAAAATAAATAAATTTTAAAAAAGTGTAGACTATTTTAAAAGACTAGAAATTGTTAGTGTGTTGGCTTCCATTGAAAAGGTTTTTTTTATTACGTATATTTTTATTAGGTATTTTTTTACATATAATTTTTCGAGAAACGTATCCGGACTTAAACAAAAATAAAACTAATAAAAACTATCTATTACTTTAAATGTAACCTGATATATGAATAAAAGGGTTCACTGGGTGTGTTTTTCTGTTTTTATGACATGATACTAATAAAATCATAAATTTTTGGATTATCTGGACTTTCGATCATGCAGACAAGTCCCTTCAAGTCTGGATAAACGTTAACCGGATAAGTTAAAAATAAATAAATTTAAAAGATCCAAACAAAACAGTAAAAAACTACAAAATGTACGCATATAAGAAGCCTTATCGCAAGAAGAATGTAATAGTAATAATATAATAAAATGAAATATAAAAATCAAAGTACACTAAATTACAAATAAAATGAAATGAAAAACTTAAAAATTAAAGTAACAAGTTAACTTGTAGCTATAGAACCATGCATCATGGTAAAAACAGTTGGGCCCTTAACTGTTCGCTGCCCTGGGTAAAAAAGACTTGAGTTCAGCCAGGATCGAAAACTTAGCATCAAAATGACAAAATCCTTTCTTCCCAGAATTACATAAAGGACACCGCTGCCTTCCAATTGACCCTCAAGGCACACCATTTAAGTAGAGTTGTTCAAATGTCATGTTTAGGATCCAGCGGAGGTCAGAGATAAGACACTAGGTTGAGGAAATAATTTAGGCCCTATGGTTTATGAAGTGGCGAATTTAAATGGGCCAACCAAAATAAATTGAATTGAATTATCAAATGTGCAATGTTTTAAAAATTGTGGATATGGTGTTTGGTCATAATCTGAATTCTTTGGCGATGTCGCCCTTTTTCTTAATGCCTTCATCTAACGTCTTAATAATTTTGTGTTTCTCCTCCATGCTTAACATCTTACAATGACTTTTCACAGACTTTTTTTTACCCAAATGAAGAAATGTAAATAAAAATGAACCGGGGGGAGAAAAAAAAACTGCTGATAAATGTGAAATATATCTGGAGTAGGACTATTAAGAGAGTGGGAGAGAGGAGACTGGAGGGCCTATCCGCTAAAGAAATGGCGCTTATCGTAAGAGCTTATACAAATAAATAAATAAAAATAAAATAAACAGATAAATTTGTCTAATTGAGGTTTTCATTGTGAAATGTTTGGCAGACGGTTTTTATCCATGCAGTTATTTTGTTATTTTTTTTGTTTTGTTAACATTTTGAATTAATAAAGCATCTATTATTAATATTGTGAAATGTTCAACTTAAAGAGGTAAAAATGTGGGCAGGAAAATGAGAGGGGGTTAAAAAATTGAGTTATTAAGGAATTTGAGATATCCAGAATCCCCTGTAGAAAGATTGCCCCAGTGATTCTGGTTCATAAAAAATGTATTTTGATAATACAAAACTATTATTTTACAGCAGGGAAAAGTTAGAAGGTCAGTTAGTAGATCGAGGAGTCGAAGCAGAAGTGTGAGCCGAAGCAGAAGTAAGAGTAAAAGTAGGAGCAGAAGCGTGAGCAGAAGTAGGAGTCGAAGTAGAAGTCCGAGCGGCAGCAGAAGTGGAAGTGGTTCCGAAGCAGAGGAAGACAACAGGTAATTAATATTTAAAAAATAACAAAGGTGACCGAGTGATTAGGGTGTCTGAGTCGTACCACCGCACTAGCGGTCCTGGGTTCGAATCCCGGCATAGCCCATTTTTTAACATATTCATTATGGAATATCATTTGCATCCTATGTAAAAATCCAGTGGGCCGATAGGATGCTCAGAGATCAGCTTTTTACTTTTAGAGATTATTATAGAGAATCTTATTTATTATTATTTTTATATTAGATATACAGTAGAAAACTTTTTAACCAAACTAAATGGGGCAGAACCGTTTTGGATAACGCAGTTTTTTGTAGAATCTGAGGAGGCTATTTACAAGGAGTAAAAGGTGTAAAAAACCTAATTTCTAATTAAAACCGAATGATCCATGTATTTTACACTACCCATAATAATAAAAACATAAAATAAAAAATTATTCACGATTTTTGGGCAAAAAATGTGGTATTTTTACAAGCTCGTGGAAAAACTGATCACTCTCTCTCCTGATTTTACCGTGTATAAACTTATTGTTTCAGTACATTATTCAAAACGAAATAAAGCAATAAATAAAATCAATTGATGTTTGGAATTTAGGAATGAAAAATCAGCCAGCGAGGAAGAACCTGAAGGTGAAGAACTAGGATCAGAGGATGAAGATGTAAATGATGAATTTTTTTTTTCAAATCTTTTTGCATATTTACCTAATAAAATGTAATTTTAAGGACTATGACGAAGAAGAAGATGAGGATGACGAAGGGCCTAGAAGCAAAAAGAAGAAGAAGAAAAACGATCGATTCGGCGGTTTTATTATTGACGAGGCTGAAGTTGACGATGAGGTCGAAGAGGATGATGAGTGGGAAGATGGCGCCCAAGAGATTGGCATCGTCGGAAATGAAATGGACGAGCTGGGTCCCACAGCTAGAGAAATTGAAGGAAGAAGACGTGGGACTACGCTTTGGGAGTACGGACAAGCATAAACAGGCAAAAAACTGTAGTCATTTACACATTTAATTATCAGTTCACAGAAAGAAGACGAACTTGAGGAATATCTCAGGAAGAAGTATGCTAATGAGACAATCGCAGCAAGACATTTTGGAGATGGCGGAGAAGACATGTCTGACGAAATTACCCAACATACACTTCTTCCAAGTGTCAAGTGAGTATTTTCCCTAACGCTTATTGTTCTATGTAATTTAACAGTGAAACTTCCCTATAACGGACACTCTTGGGGGAATTAAATATTGTCCACTGTGCAGAGATGTCTGTTTTTGGGATAAGAATGAAAAAAAAAAAAAAAAGAAGAAGAAAAATATATTGACATCTTTGAAATATTGAACATGTTTATGCATAAGAGCAAGTTAAACGTACCTTTGAAACTTTTCCTCCATGACAACGCTAATTTTTTAACAGCGTAGTTTGAAGTGCTCGAAAAAAGGTCTCATCGTGATTTAAAAAAATTTGGGTTGAAAAATTTGAAATATTGTTTTAAGTTTTTCCATGCTCAAAAAAAAGTTACATGCCCTAAAAAATAAAGCGGTCTCATAGCAATTAAAAACTTGTTTGGGTTGAAAAATTTGAAATATTAAGTTTTTCCATGCTCTAAAAAATCAAGCGGTCTCATTGCAGTTAAAAACTTTTTTGGGTTGAAAAATTAGAAATATTGTTTTTCCATGCACAAAAAAATCAAGCGCTCATTGCAATTAAAAAAAATTTTGGGTTCCAAAATTCAAAATATTAAATTTTTCCATGCTCTAAAAAATAAGGCTGTCTCATCGTAGTTAAAAAAAATTTAGGTTGAAAATGTCAACATATTGTTTTAAGTTTATCCATGCTTTTAATAATAAGGTGGTATCATTGCAATTGAAAAAAATTTTGGGTGGAAAAATTCAAAATATTGTTTTGTTTTCCTTGCTCTAAAAAATAAGGCAGTCTCATTGCAGTTAATAAAAAAAATTGGTTGACAATTTTGAAATATTTTTTCCATCCTCTAAAAAATAAGGGTCTCATCATAGATTAAAAAAAAATTGGGTTGAAATATTGTTTTGTTTTTACATGCTCTAAAAAATAAGGCAGTCTCATTGCAGTTAATAAAAAAAAAATTGGTTGAAAATTTTGAAATATTTTTTCCATCCTCTAAAAAATAAGGCACTCATCATAGCTTAAAAAAAAAATTGGGTTGAAATATTGTTTTGTTTTTACATGCTCTAAAAAATAAGGCAGTCTCATTGCAGTTAATAAAAAAAAATTGGTTGAAAATTTTGAGATATTTTTTCCATACTCTAAAAAATAAGGCAGTCTCATCATAGTTAAAAAAAAATTGGGGTTGAAATATTGTTGTTTTTACATGCTCTAAAAAATAAAGCGGTCTTATCGCAATTAAAAACTTATTTGGATTGAAAAATTCAAAATATTAAGTTTTTCCATGATTAAAAAATCAAGCGGTCTCATTGCAATTAAAAAAATTTTTGGGTTCCAAAATTCAAAATATTTTTTTCTATGCTCTAAAAAATAAGGCGGTGTTTTAAGTTTTTACATGCTCTAAAATATAAAGCAATCTCATCGCAATTAAAAACTTTTTTGAGTTGAAAAATTCAAAATATTAAGTTTTTCTATGCTCTAAATAATAAGGTGGTAACATTGCAATTACAAAAATTTTTGGTTGAAAAATTCAAAATATTGTTTTTTTCCATGCTCTAAAAAATAAGGCAGTCTCATTGCAGTTTAAAAAAAAAAAATTGGTTGAAAAGTTTGAAGTATTTTTTCCATGCTCAAAAAATAAGGCCGTCTCATCGTAGTTTAAAAAAAATTTGGGTTGAAAAATTCAAAATATTGTTTTAAGTTTTTCCGTGCTCTAAAAAATCAAGTGGTCTCATTTAAAATTTAATCAACAATTTAAAAAAATGGGTTGGAAAATTAAAAAATATTGTTTTATGTTTTTCCATCCAGTTTTGGACAACTTCAGTCTCTTTTTCTGCTAATAGTCTTAACACGTCGACTGCGGCCTTTGCTTCTCCATTTTGGTTGCCCATGGCAGAACAAAATTTATCATGTAAAATAGCTCTATGATTTTTTTTTTATTAAGTATCAAATGCAAACAGGGAGGCTTTTTGATATATCGTCGAAACTCGAATTAAACTGAACTCTGAACAATTACATAAACCTACCATAATAAAGTTTGCAAAGTGGCGTAATCAAAACCTAAAAATCCGAGACAAAAGACGATATTGGGAGGCGAACAAAACACAGGGACCGCTTTTTCAGGCTTTGCTATATGCTTTTTGGGCAGTTTTTAGAGCTGAATATAGTAAAAAAAAAAAAATCTCTTTATAGAAGAAATCAATGGGAAGATGCCGGGGAATCAGATTTTCTCAGTTCAAGGGAGGTGTGAGCTTTTTTTTAGAGGTGTTCGTTAAGGGTAGTTTCACTGTATGACTTGAAACATTTTAACCGAATTTTTTAACTTTTTCATTTATCTTCCTCTCTCAGGGATCCAAATTTATGGATGGTCAAGTGTAGATTAGGAGAAGAGAAAGCGACAGCCCTCCTCCTTATGAGAAAATTTCTTACTTACCAAAATACAGAAAATCAGCTTCAAATAAAATCGGTCGTTGCTCCTGAAGGGGTGAAGGGTCTCATTTACATCGAAGCTTTCAAAAGACCACATGTCAAACAGGCAATCGAGAACGTTGGGAATTTGAGGGAAGCAAGATGGGCACAACGGGTAATGACAAATTTTTATTTATTTATTTATTTTTTTTTTTTACAAACGTGTTAATTGTTATTAAAACAATTTTTAGATGGTACCGATAAAAGAAATGACCGATGTCCTTCGAGTGATCAAAGTTCAAACTGAGCTCGTACCTAAACAGTGGGTTAGAATTAAAACAGGTATTTTCACAGGACGAGGTTTTTTTATAATAATTTTTTTATAAGGTTTTAATACTTTTTATTTTTTTAAGGTATTTACAAGGATGATATTGCAAAGGTAGATTATGTTGATCTTGCTCAGAATCAAGTCCATCTTAAGTTATTTCCACGTATTGACTACACAAAACTACGTGGTGCACTACGTCCAACACAGGTTTATTATCATTACATGTAAATCAATAGAAATAAATATAATAAGTAATATTTTTCAGGACAATGATCCTTTGAAAAGGAAGAAGAAAAAAAGGCCGCCGGCAAAGGCTTTTGATTCTGGTGCTATAAGGGAAATCGGTGGCGAGGTTACTTCAGACGGTGACTATTTGATATTTGAAGGAAATCGTTATTGCAGAAAAGGGTTCCTTTACAAAGTATTCAAAATAAGCGCAATTTATTTTGACGGTTGGTTTCCACAGTGTTGAGTTATCGAAGAATATTAAAAAATAATACTTTCGTTTTATCTTAGGTGTAACACCTACACTCTCTGAATATGAGAAATTCGAGGAATCTCTGGAAGGCGCAGATTTTGAAGTTTCGGTGAACAAAGACGGCTCGGGTCATACATTCAGCGCTGGTGACAACGTCGAAGTTTGCCAAGGTGAATTGAAGGACCTGGAAGGGCGGGTCATTTCCGTTGATGGCGATACAGTCACAATGAAACCGAAACACGAAGCTTTATCGGTATTTTTGTCATTTATAGTATAATCATCAGCGCATTGCTTCAATTAATTTTTTACAGGTTCCGATCGGATTCAAATCACACGAGTTGCAAAAATTCTTCAAACTTGGCGACCATGTTAAAGTGCTTAGAGGACGTTACGAAGGCGATACCGGGCTTATCGTCAGAGTGGAGGAAAACAGAATCGTCCTTTTCTCCGACTTATCGATGCACGAGTTGGAAGTTTTGCCAAGGGATCTCCAACTCTGCTCAGACATGGCTACTGGTGTCGACAGCCTCGGACAGTTCCAATGGGGCGATCTCGTTCAAATTGAGTAAGTTCTTTTAAAGTAATATTTATCTTGATATTGACTGATATTTCTTCCCCGTTTACCCCGAAAGTGCTCAAAAGGTTGGCGTTATTGTCCGATTGGAGAGAGAGACTTTCAACGTTTTGAGTATGGAGGGTAAAATAGTTTCGGCAAAGCCTCAATCTCTTCAAAAGAAAAAAGAAAATCGTAACACGACCTGTTTAGATTTTCAATCAAACACGATTCAAAAAAGAGACATGGTTATCGTTATCGACGGCGCACACAGCGTATGTTTTTATTTTACCTAGTTAAATTTATTTAGTATTAACCGATCGCTTGTTTTATCTCATTAAATAGGGTTGCAAGGGAGAAGTGAAGCATATTTATCGAAATTACGTTTTTATCTATTCTAACAAAAACGTAGAACACGGTGGTATTTTCGTATGTAAAGCGAAACATATTACACTCGCCGGTGGTAGTAAAGCGAACGACACTGGTGGATTCTTAAACAGTTCAATGGGCTATATGTCGCCCAGGATTACATCCCCTATGCATCCTCATGGCGGCGGAGGAATAAGTGGTGGTAGGGGTGGACGAGGCGGTGGCGGAGGTCTTAGAAAGGACAGAGATCTCATTGGAAAAACCATCAAAATTACAACAGGCCCATACAAAGGTTTCTTTTTTTTTAAATCTTCGCTTAAAAAAAACAAAAAACACTAAATAATTCTTTATGATTAGGTAACGTTGGTATGGTCAAAGATGCAACCATGGATACTGCTAGAGTTGAATTACATTCCAGTTGCAAGACGATTTCTGTTGATAGAATGCATATTCAAATATGCGGAGCTCCTTCTGGAGTGGTAATTATATTAATTTAAAAAAAAAAGATTTAGTTAAGGATTTATTTAATATTTTCTTTTTAGGATGGATCTTTAACAGCGTATAGCAGAACACCAATGCACGGAAGCGCTCAGACCCCGCAATACATGGGAAACAAAACGCCGATGCACGACGGTAAGTACAATTATATCCTTAAAAAGCTGATAAATCGTAATTATAATCGTTGTTCACAGGGAACAGAACCCCGGCTTATTTGGGCGGGGCGACACCATCTCACGATGGCGGACAAACACCCGCCTGGGATCCTTCGGCGACGCCGGGAAGAATGGAAGACGACAGGTTCGGAGAGGACGACTACACCAAAGTCAATCCTTGCACGCCGCAGGTCATGTATGGATCGGACAAATCGACCTATTCCTCTTTCGATTCTACGCCTTCTCCGACTAATTACGGAAGTAATAGTTCAGTCTACTGTGCGTCCGCTTCTCCAGGAAGTGGTGTTCAGTCGTATGGATCACCGTCTCCTACATACAGTCCTAGAACCCCTATAAGCGGTTCTTCTCCAAGAACACCTAGTGGAGGACGTAAGTATTATTTTCTTATCCTTCTTGTTCTCTTAAGATTTAGGTTCTTTTTTTAAATTAAAACTCGCACCTGCATCTTTTTTCACTGCTTAACGTAAAAACATTGAATCATGGATAACCTAAGCGATATCGGACTGACGGTTATGGTCGAAACTTCGGCCGACAACAGTTGGTCCCGTTGCTCAGTGGAGAAGAGGGTGGGTGAAGGAGAGAGGTAGGGAATTGTTGAGCACCACGGTATTTTTGGGAAGGGTAAATACCGAAACCCTAAGGGAAGAAAAGAAATAGAGGTAAAGGGAGGAAGAAATTGAAACCAAAGTGGAAAAAAAAAAACTAACGGAGTTTGGAATTGAACCCACTTTTGAGACCCAAGTCGGCGATCGTTACCACTAGACCAAAGGCGCCGACTGAGCCTCGCCGCATCCCACCGGCTCACCGCCTTGCGTCTGGGATCGCCACGAAACCCGGAGCCCAAATCCATCCTCCGGACAGATAGAGATAGAGGTAGAGAAAGATAAAAACAACAATATTAATCGCCGGTGCCTTGCCTGTGCCTCCCACAACAGATGCAGTGAACAACAAAAAAAAACTAGACCATTTGGCCTCCGCCAAATAAAAGGTTCACAACAAATATCAAAAGACCGCTCAACTTTATACTATATTAAACTAACATCTCTTACATCGGAAATAATCTTGTAAATAAATGACAATTAGGCTACTTAGCAACTAAATCTTAACTCTTTAACCTAAAATGACTCACTGCTTAATAAAACAAAGAAATCCTTAAACCTAGAGTAACAATTTTGTCTTCTAACTAAACTTAATATAAAAAAAAGGTATTAATCAAATACAAAAAGTCAATCGGCCGTTCGGCGAACTCACGTCGGGGCCCTGGCGCAGCGTGGTCCTCTTCCGGGAGCAACCTCAGTTGGGGGAAAATGATTCGTCCTCGTAGAACCACAAATCCTCTTCCGAGTTCTCTTCCCCATCACTCTGACCAGGGGAAGATGCCAGGTTAATGAGGACGAACAATCCGCAGCAGCATGAATTTCCCCTTTACTTTGGCCGCTCGTCCCTCCCACGGCGGACACGTCTCTCCGGGCCAAGGGCCCTTAACCTCTTGCACCTTCTGCTCTCGGTCGCATTCCAGGCCTCGACGCCCCTGCTCATGCTGCCGTCTGACGCTCTCATCTTCCACGCCAAAATTCAAATTTACTCAACTTAAAACTAACATTTTTTCCCCGCACGCAGGCACAGGCAAGACACCAGAAAATCCATTATTATTATTTTTTCCATAAAAAAACGTAATAACGCAGCCTGGCCATTTAGTTGTACTATGTTAATTACATTAATATTCAAAAATAACATCTTTGGCAGTAATAAAGATGAATATTTCATGGTTCGCACACTGGAAATATTTGTTTGAAAAGTACAACTTGCCTTTCCTCATATCCTTGGACAACCTCTGGCATAATTATTTTTCAGTTCTGATCAATCAAATTAACCGTCTGTAGCTAATTGGTAAAGTAAAGAAGCTCGACAAGTAACGACTGCACAGACTAACAGAAGTCCAAAGAAATTAACGCTTTGAAATGTGCACCTTTTTTTTTTTTTCTTTTTCCTTTTATGATAACAGGAGGTATACAGGTTACTGGTGAGACAAGGATGAAGCGCCAAAACACTTCCCGAAACCAAATCTGCAACCAAAAAAGGTTATAGTGACTGTTTGGTGGTGTACTGCTGGAGTTGTTACAAAAATACGAAAATTATTCTAAAAAAATATGTGCATCCAGCTCAAAAACATGTCCATGTTAAAATTGCTGTGGCTAAAAATAAAAAGCTGCATTTTTTTTTTTTTTTTTTTTACTGTTCAAAGTTTAACCTTATGATATTAAATTCTAGTCGGAGGAGATATTCTGGCAACCCATGATTGGCACACAACAAAAATTGCGGTCAGAGTTAAGGAAGATCATCCTGATAAGGGCTTGGCTAATCAACAAGGAGTCATAACTGGAGTGTTTGTAAGTATCAACAACGCATTCTCTAATCTTGTAATAAAATTTATAATTTTTTTTTTTTCAGACCGATACATGTGTAGTTTTCCTCCCTGACGAAGATCGTAAAGTGAACATTCCAATGGACATGCTACTCCCTGTCCAGCCGACCACGGGCGATAACGTTAAGATTATCGTCGGTGATTTGAGGGAATTCGAAGGAAAACTGATCGCCATAGATCATATCGAAGGAGTCGTCAAATTAAAGGATGCCCAATTCCACGGGAATAACGCTATTCGAATGATCCCAATCGATCATCTGTGTAAACTTGCCCCGCCAAAAAACCAACGAGAACAGAGTTAAATATTTTTAATCTTTAATTTTTTTTTCTTCTATATGTTATCTTAATTAAAAATATCAAAACATTTTAGTCAAAATACTTGAAAATTACAGTCGAAATATATGGCCTTAATAATTTTTTATTAAGATAATTTGATTTTTGTTGGATTCTCTGTATAAAATATTTATATTTTAACTTTTTTTTTAAAATAATACTTAAGCCTATTATGATATAAAGTTCTGAAGTTAATTATTTGATGGATTATTAATTATAAGATATATGGATAAGTGTAAATGAATACATTATAAGTATAAAAAAAAGAGAAACAGTTTTGTTTCAGTCCATCCTGAGGTTTTTGTAAAAAAAAAAAGTCCCCAATAGCTCTGCGAACCCAAAATTTCTGTATTTTCTTGTGTTGCTACAATAGGAAAATTACTGAGATAAAACATAAAAAAAAATAAAATGGATTATACACAGTAACGTATGAAACGGAGACAAATACATCGGACAAGGAATGTCAAATTGTTTAAGGACAACAATGGAAAATCAAATTATGCTACTCACCTAATAGAAAAAGAACAAACGATCAACAATTCAAGCAAGTATGACACTACTACACAACATACAAAAAAAAATGAACATACACAAATGTATAAACACGACATTCAATGGGGGAAAAAACTCATAAATTAACAGAGGTGAGTAGTATCAGCCTTCGTGATAAATAGTAAAATAAAGAGATGAGGGATGCAGTCATACAGCTGAAAGAACCAACTTGTTTTTCTACCGTCAAGCTTTCGGCTGTTTTTGACGCCTTCCTCAGAAGTTGGTTCTTTCACCTGCCCAGCTTCATCCCTGATTTCTTTACTTTAATATCATAAATTAACAATAACTCACACTTAGATTTTAAGGGAGGGCTCCGGTGGAATGTCCTCCGGGCCCGCCAACCTAGCTTAGTACATTTTATTGGTGTGTATGGTGATTTTATTGTAAAAATTGTATTAGGGCACCACCACGTGTGAGGGGCAGCACTGGGTCACCAAGCATCCGAACGCCCCTCCACTACAAGAAGAGGGAGTAATAGTGAGGTGACACGTGAGAAAGATCGCTTGGAGAATCTCCAATCACTCTAACGCAGATTCGCCTAGCCCAATACAAATCAACGAAAAGAAATACAAGGAAACAGAAGAAGAAAGAAGAGGAGGGAAAAAAGAGATGAAGAGAGATAATTGAGAGAGGGTGGGGACGAGGTATATGAAAACTACTAACCCTCAGAGCTATAAAAGAGCGGAAGATTTGGAGGGAAATAGTGAAGCCGTCCCCCCTCCTTATGCACCTGCGTGTGGATGTGGGTGTTGCATATACGCTCGCACGCACACGCATAAAATAGAAAAAAGAGAAAAAAAGAAGATGGTAATGGAAAAAGAAAACGAAAAAACACTAACCCCCGCATTTACATTTTCTAGCATGTCGGCTATGACCTTTGCCGTTCGCCGACCAAAAAAAACAAACATCGTTTAACACTATTTAAAACATTACACAAATTAAAAAAGAAAAATCAAAAAGACCACCTGGAACAATAAAAAAGCCGACTTAATCCATCAAACACTTTAACAATACTGACAGGCTCCACCATCAACGACCTCGTAAATAAAAAATCACTCCAAATGCTGAAGATGACAAAATGCTCAACACGAATGACAAAAATTGGAGGGGATAGGCAGACTAAGATGACTTGACTATCTCAAAGAAAAATACTGGAGTATTTGCAAGGTACAAATACATAAACATGATACATTCAATGGAAAAAAAAACATTCACAACTTAATGATAACTCACAAACATCGTTTAACACTAAAACATTACACAAAGTAAAAAGGAAAACAAGGAAAAAGAATCAAAAGGACCGAATAATACAATAAAAAACCGACAATCCATCAAACACTACCAATACCGACAGCTCGCCACCATCAAGTACATAAAACCACCCGAATACTGAAGATGGCAAGAAACAAAACACGAAAGATAAAAATCTCGAAGAAAAACAATGGAGTAAATATTTTCAAATTGGAGTTTTTCAAAAACTTTCAAAAAACAAAAACTTAAAAAAAAAGTTCCAAAAACCTCATTAAAAAAATTTTTATATTTTAATTTATTTGTTACCTATACAGGATAGTATACTATACAAATATGTACACATGACTAATATATCACACAGCACAACACTAGCACTAATGCCAGCACTGCACCGGTAGAACACATGCTTTGAGGAGCCAGCCATTGCTGGCACTCAGTGTGTATGATTAAGGGTCAAGGAGGTCCCATGGCCATCGTCGGTTGAAGCGACGTGGTGGGTTGTCAGGATGGGAATAAGTGGTGAGGGCTCGAGCAGTATGGTTCGAAAGGTTTGGAATCTGGACCAGATTAGTTCATTGACAAAAGAAATGTTGAGGTCTTTGTGGATAGTGAGGTTAGTGACAAGGTGCTTTGAGAATTTGTCTAAGGACTTTCGATTGGAAGGCTTGGCAGTGCCCCACAGTTCCACTCCGTATGTCCATATTGGTCTTAGTAAAGTCTTGTACAGTGTTAGCTTTGTCTGAATTGTCAAAGTCGATTTCGGTCTTAAAAGTCTTCGTAGTAGTCCAAGTCTTGCATTAAGGTGCTGGTTTTTAAGTCTTGTGTGGGGATTCCGTCCTAAGTCTGCTGTCGAGATATAGTTCCAGGTATTTGACTTGAGTGGAAACAAAATTTTTTCTTCGTGCAGTCTTGTTCTCCATTTTTTACACCAGTCTTCGATAAGTTCAAGGTGTTCCTGGATATTGGAGGTAGTTTGGACAGGATTCGAGTTAGAGGATGGGATTGCGGTGTCGTCCGCGTAGGTGGTGAAAATAGTGTCAGGATGTATTGGTAGATCAGCAGTATAAATGATATATAGGACAGGACCAAGGATACTACCTTGCGGTACACCGGCCTGTGTCTGACTTCCGAGAATTCATTGCCGCACCTCACTCTGAAACAGCTATCAGTTAGGTAGGATTTCAATCAAAGGTGATAATAAGAGGGTAGGAAGCGCTTAAGTTAAAAAAAAAAAAAAATAGAGCAATAGTTTTATATTTGCATAAAATACATATGTAAATACATACAATTGCATTTTGACAAATAAAATTTTTTTATAAAATTATTAGTAATTAAAAAAAAATAATTACAAGGCACAAACAATTATTGACTATAAAAAGAAATTTTTTTTACATATTTAGCCGATATAAAAACTTGAAAAGCATTACGTTTAACATTTTTATGTGCGTACGGTAATATTTCTAACAATTCGTTAAACAACATATTCAACAATGAAAAGCTTTCATAAATACTATAATAAAATTTACACATTTGAAAATAATAACACTGCGTACTTTGTCGAAAAGATATAACTATACTTTGAAATATATTAGAGGCGAAAACACTTAAAATTTTTACGGGTTCGATAAAAAAAAGTTAAACTATTTTTTTGTGATCCACCATGATCGCTAAAGATAAAATCTACTTTTAGTACCCTAAATCAGGAGATCATAAATGTTTAATTATCCCTTAATAATTGGCCAAGTCACACTTGGACTATTGTTAACTTTGCTATTTAAAATTATGTAAAAATATTTTCACTTAATATTTATTCAGCACCAATTTTAATTACTACTGTTAACATTAATTACTACCATCTAGTCTGTACTAAATGGAAAACGTTAAGAAGACGGATAATTTTTTTTAAATACATAATTAACGAGAGATATAGGCACAAATTTTGATAGTTGTTATTCACTCCATTACTAATTTGCAAATCAAAAAATAACACAGAATGTCAAATATAATAAAAGGTTAATTTTTTTGGTATGACGACGATTTGGTATGAATTTAAGCTGTTTTTATAGAACAGACTAGCTATAAAGTCATTTCTAGATTGCATTTTTAGATGTTCAAATTTCTAGATTTATTCTTTATTTAACTTACATTTTACACCATCTTCTTACAATCTCATAACGTTAGAATACTATATGATGCTTAAAAAGCTCTTATGATTTTTTCCCTGGACTTTTTAAGCTAACAAAAATTCAAAATGATTCCACCTAATTGAAATAAATATGAACAAATCTGCCTAATGCAGAACAATAACTTCATTTTTTAAAAACTGGGTGTCATTGTGCGCCTAAACTATCCTTAAAATAACACTTTTTTTTAAAAGATATAATACTATAATTTTGATATAACTACTCTCACTTAAGATTGTAGCCAGGAATGAATTTTTATTAGCCGAATGTTCCATATATGAAAAATTATAATTAACAAAACAAAAGTTTAAAAGGTAAAAGATATTAATCGGCTAACTGCCCCACTTTGTAAGCGACGACAGTAGCATGGTCTAATTTCCCTGGTACGGCGGCGAGCTTACCGCACATTTGTTTTCGTTTTGCCCTCCCTTGACCTTCGCCACCACCTCCTGAGTAGAGGTCCGCGTCTTCCAGGAGTCTACGTTTCGCAGAGGTTAACCTAGTCACAAAATCGATCATTAGGTCCACAACGCCCCTTGCGGTGGAACAAGGTGGACCGTGACCAGATACTCCATGCCTAAGAAGATCGTCTATCCTGAGCAAACCCAGTCTGTGCCTCTGTTCTGCCTCGACTCCACTTAAACCTAAAAACAATGTTATTCTAGTCAGAAGGTGATAATTTAAATTTTTTTAAAATATTTCTGTGATAATTATTAATCAAGGCTAGACTGATATTCATTGCAAATCATCAAAAATTTAAAATTTGGAAAATACAGACCTGTAAATTTGCCAACGACTGGATCCAAGTTATCCGAAACGCCATCAGATGTAATGAAGACAATATCACCCACTTCCACCTCTGTCATGGCACATGTCAAATTTGCTAATTCTGGATTTGTACCATCAACGGGGCCGAGGGCGCCCATGGCGTCTCTCATGTCCCTCATCCTATGCACATCATGCGATCCTGAAAATCGACAGAGTAAGAAGTCGTAACGACCTAAACGATTAAGCGATATCTTGCCTTGTGTTATTTCTCTGACACCGTATTTGGCGCTGTACACGTACGCGAGGCTATCGCCGACGTTGCAAGCGCAGGCGATGTAACGCGACGGTGATGTAAGTGGGAGGATAAGTACCGCAGTCAACGTTGTCAACATTCCTTTTTCCTCCAAAATTAAATTGTGCGCTGCATTAAAGGAACGAAGGAGGGCGACAAAAGCATCCTGAAATAAATTAGTATTTATGTTCACTGATTCTCTTTTGCACTTGAACTTACAAAAAGATTATTTCCCTTAATTTTGGAAATTTATAAAATTATTTTAGACATCTAGACTAGAATATTAATATATAAACTTAAATACTTTTGTTTTCATGTTAATATTGAAACCTTATTTTTTTTTTTTCGCCTTTTCAACTATGACGACAGGAATTTGTATAAATGGAAGATATTTATATAAATTAGTCTATTTCAGTGTTAACATGAAAATAAAAGAATTTATTTCAATTAATTAAGGTTTTTAGTTAGATAAAAAGTAAGTGTCACGAGTGGGATTCGAACCCACGACCTTTGGCTAGATACCACTTTGGCAGCGGCTCTACCACTTGAGCTATCGTGACTTCGACCCACTCAGACACTAACTTCCCATCCCAACCCCACCTTTTTGAATTTTTCCCTCCTTTTTGACATTTTTCAAATGTCGTGTAATCTATTTGATTCTCAGCGACAAATGAAATGGCCATGGAGAGCTTTAGTGAAGGTTTACTTCATTTTAACTTATTAAATTCACTAGTTTTCGTGGTCCGCTTGACCAATTAATATCTTTCAATTAATTAAGGTTTTTAGTTGAGATAAAAAATGCAAAAAGGAGGGAAAATTTAAAAGGTGGGGTTGAGATGGGAAGTTAGTGTCCGAGTGGATCGAGATCTCGATAGAACAAGTGGTCGAGAAGCAGCATATTTAGCCCAAGGTCGTGGGTTCGAATCCCGCTCATGACACTGACTTTTCATCTAAACTAAAAACCTTAATTAATTGAAAGATATTAATTGGTCAAGTGGACCATCAAAACTAGTGAATTTAAAAAGAATTTATGTTTATATACTTCTGACTAAAAATCAGTAAGTAGAAAATTGTGTTTCATGTTCTTCTACGTATTGGATATTAAATTGGCCAAAGTTAAAATGTATTATATATCCTTTTTTTAGAGCCCTGAAGAAGGTACAATAACATTCTGAAAATTAGGCAAAGATTTTAAATTAAAAATATCTTTCTTTGACCCTAATAACGACTAAGAAAACATTATCTGCGTAAGTTGGTAGATAAATGTACAAAACATTTGCACACTGTTTCAGAGCGTTTTGCTCCTTCTTCAAAATGTCTGTAACAAGATATTGACAAAACTTGTCGATGTTGATGATGGGTTTTTGATCTGGGAATCGGTAAACTCATGCTGAACTGACACTGACAAAAAAAAAAAAAAAAAAAAAAAAAAAGACAGGGTCACTGAGTCTCTCCACTTGTCGGTTTTTTGAGTTATTCAAATGCATTTCAGCATTGCGCCATCTTCAGCGAGGTACTTGAAGTGGAGACAGACCCAGTAAATGACCCTGTACTGGTTCAACATGAAAACTTGACAAAACAAATTTTTTTAGATTTTTAAATTTTATAACAAAGACCACTTTCCTACAGTATAAACAATTAGAAAGAATATGTTGATAATTATGCTGGAAAAATTTGGTCCTTTTTTATAATTGAAAACTTTTATGTAGTTGGGTGATTTTAATTAAATAAATAAAAAATAAGTATGTAATCTAAATTAATTCCTGTCATACAGGAGGGCGTTAGGTTTCTCAACCATGTTTTCATACTATTCTTAATTCATATATTGTGCTTAGTACTTTAATCTGTAACTGAGGAGGATAAAAAAACATGTGCATAAGGCCTAAGGTAAAAAAAAAAAAAACAAATTGTTATATCAACTGTCTGATGTCTTAATTACATTCAAAAATTAGTAGCATATAATCAACTGAAATTCTTCCATCAAAAATAAAGGAAATTACTAGGCTAAATATTAATGTAAAAATAGAATTATAAATAAGCCTACGGTGGTATTAGCAAGCCTGTGGTTGTAAACGGCTTGGTTGAGGTAGTCTACGCATCCGTGGACAGCTGCCTTGGCGGCGAGGCTTGCTTTGGGTCCCCAGTTGACGCCATCGGCGAGGGAGAGAATAGCGCTGTCTCGCCTGGCGACGATGGCAAAGCAGTCAGCGATTGGCTCTCCGGCAGGCACTCCAGTCACAGGATGTCTCTCATACAGAGAGACAGATTTCCCTATAACATACTTTTCCCCTTAGCTACAAGCTACTTTATTAAATCAAAACGCTTACCGTAGGCGCTGGCTGTTGGAAGTTCCCAATTGATAACCCCTGCGACCGGCTCTCCGCAGTTAAAGTCCCTAGCATTGGGTGTGCTCTCACACTTTTGGAGAGGAATACTACTCCCCGTGAATTCATCTCCAAGAAGGTTACAGTTAATTGTGGACGTGTTGCTGTTAGCATCTCTTGTCCCTGCATGAATTAATTTAAATTTATAAAAAAATACTGGGTGTATACACAAATTTTTTTCTTAAAATTTCAACTTTCACCCTTATAAATGCGATCCTTTATTACCTTCTAGCCCCGTTAGTTCTACGGTAGAAAAGTCCTATTGAAGGAGATTGTTAAAACAGGGATGGTTGGTCCCAAAAGTAACTAGAATAAACTGTGACGTGTAGAGGATGACATGAAAGCAGGTAAAATTCATTTCAACCATTGTTTGCTATATGAATTCGATCTTGGGCATAGAGTGATGGATGCCTGTCGAAAGTTATTTGGAATGATAATGTTGCAAATGTGTGAGTTTCTTAATGAGCTATCAACTGTAGCTTAATTACAGCTATCAGATTTCAGATCATCACACAACAATAAAAAAGAAGAATCTGATTGCTGGGTTACGCTGAGAAACTCAATTCATGATCAATTATCCCTCAAAAACAAAGAAGCTTGGCTTGTTGCGTTTCACTCCTTAATAGGAATAAAATAGAAAGGGTTTATTTCCTATTTGATCCCTGGGATGAGAAGTGGGTGGGTTTTGTCGTACGAACAAAGAATGAAACGCCACTGTCGACATTAAGAGCTGGATTCTATTGTCTGGTGGGATTGTTATCGCGCACCAAACCTTTACGGAAGAGGTATACAATGTCCAGCTAGAGCGTCTTGGGTGAGCATTGAAGGAAAAACATCCTGCCCTGGTAAATAGATTCAATGCCATTTTTTTATTGCAATGCCAAGCCTGACTCAGAGTAAAATCACAGACTGGCACCCACCGTACTAGACCTTGCCCCTTTCGATTTTTACTTGTTCCTCTCCCTAGCTAACAACTTAAACAAAAATGTTCTGAATATTTTGATATTGCTCAATGTAATATTTTTAATTTTAATTAAAACATTTTTCATTTTGTTCATTTGGCTTTTACCCTTTATTAATTAATTATTCTAAATTTATTATAATTGATGTTCATCAGCAGAACTCTCTTCCAAATTCTCAACTCTTTATTTATTTATTTAGATAGACGGTCACTAATCACCACAAAATTCCTTTATTTATTTATATTATATAAATTAAAATTAAATTAAAATTTTAATACAAATTGTAAGTATAAAGTAAATTTAATTATATAAAAACATAAATTGTTATTTAGAGAGTGAAAAAATTTTTTTGGAGTATTAATTTTATTGTTGGTTAACATAAAAACAATAATGTTCTATGATGCAAAATACTCTAATTTGGTATGATTAAAAAAAAAAAAAAAAAAAAAAGATAAATCAACAAAGTACTGCTTTTTTGCATATTTTAACAAACATTCTGTAAGCAAAGTAGGTCAAAAAATTGTCAAAATGTGGATTTGACCTCTCAGTGTCATGATTCTAGCCCTTTACCGACTTTTGAGGAAATGGTGTGAATTAATTTTTGACTGACAATTTCGACGACCTGATGCCTGACTGACATTCTTGGTGCAAGCTCTAACTTAATTTTTCTAAAAAACTAGTGGACCGATTTTCATGTTGATAATTTTTTTTAAAGAGGTGAAAAAGTGAAGCATCTGACAATGAATTTTCCTATTTCGTATATTTTCTCATAGAAATCTTTTATATATTTTTATGGTAGATATGTTGTTAAAAAACTATATTCCTGTTCTTTCAAACAATGTCTTTGACGTTAAAATCCTTTTAGCCGTTTTTGAATTATAGCCCATTCAATCAGATATTGCAATAATGACTTCTTAAAAATTGTAAAAAAATTTAGGTGTATCTAAAAAACTATCGATACCTTTAAATTCTAACAATATTTATATCTAGGGGTCTCTACAGGTGTTAAAACGAAATTTCATACAGTTTCATGTAAAAAAAAAAATATAACCTAGTTTACTTAAAAAATATTTGGTTTTTAGTCATTTTTTGGTTATTGATAAGCTGTGATAGCTTTTACTATATTTTTTATTGCAATCTATATAAAAAAAAAAACTCTCTAAAATGATATGTTCACTAGTTGATTTGACCAAGTGGAACAGCTAAATAAAAATATTAAAAAAATGTAAAATTTCAAGTTTAAAAAAAAAAAAAAAAAATTAATTATGGTTTTAAGTTGAGATAAAAAAGTCAGTGTCACGAGCGGGATTCGAACCCATGACCTTCGGCTTGATACACCGCTACTCTACCACTTGAGCTATCATGAATTCTCAACTTTTTTACCTCAACTTAAAACCTTAATTAATTGTATGATATTAATTGGTCAAGCAGACCACGAAAAATAGTGAATTTTGAAAAATATTTGTTTTAAATTATTTTACATTATTTTCATTATTTTATTACAATTATTTGTTGTTACAAAAAATTTGAAAAATAGTGGTATCATCAAACATCATGGAGAGTGGAATCATCAAAAAAAAAAGTCTGGTCCAAACCTTGTAAGCCATTATACTTCTGAAAAAAAGGAGATATTTTTGCTACTAGAACGTTTTTTTGAAGCCGATAAATTGGCCAAGGATAGTTCAATGAAGACACCTTTTGCGACTTATCAAACCTCTAAAAACACGAATCCATTACACAATGGGTTAACAATAAGCTCTCCGCTAAATGGGAATGCAGCCCGGGACAGAGGCACAAATCTAGAACATTCTAGGATTAGAATAATAGTTAAACTGCTAATTGGAAACTGCAGACTACGGGGACATGTGTATAGCCTTAAAGTGGCAGTAACAAGCCTATGCGGATAACACCAAGAAGAAGAAACAGCGTAACACGTTCTATGTTGGTGCGAAGGCCTATGTAGGCTGAGATTCCTATTCCTGGGAGAGGAAAAGCCAGGGCCTGAAAGATACACATGGGACCTCTTGAAAAAGCTTTGGGGTCTGGTAAAAAGCCTCAAGCCTAACTACCAGAATGTTGGCAGTATGTGATAAATAAAAGGAATTTATGTTTTGGGTTAAAAGGGTGATTTTTTTAAATATTTCACTCGTATTTCTCAAAACTTATACAAACACCCAACTATAAGTGTGTGAGAAAACAATCTCCCCTGCCTCAAAAATCAATGAGAATGAAGTTTACATTGGTCTAGGTGATATTTATAAGATCACGAATAATCTAGATCTTGATACGGACAAGTGGGTCAAGAGGGTGAAAAAACAAATTCAATTATCTGCCGAGCTTTGAGCTATTTTAAGGTCATCATCAGGGCAAAACAGTCTGAAATATATCAACAAATTAACATAATTAAGTTGTTAATAAATAGTTGCAGATCTTTTTGAACATAAGACAACACTGCCAAGGACTGTAAAACTATTCCAATGGCACTATCTGATGTACCTACTATTTTTACAAGTAAATACAAGTTAACTATCCCTGATATAAATATATGTATATAAAATTGGTTTATGTGATAAGTATAAACAATGCCTATTACGATAAAATATTTATAGATTTACTTAGCATTTCAGGACAAAGAAAACTTGTAATTTTTGAAAAACATTTTCATACAAAAACATGAACAGGAAGAATACAACATCAATGAATAACAAAAATGACAGATGTAAAAAGGTAAATTTTCCCTCTCATCAGCATGTCCTTGGCTAACACCTACTTCCTAGTAAGCCAAGGTAACATGTACAATCACAAACTGTGAATGACCTAATTAAAAATACATTATTTAAATCAACTAATCGCCATCCTATATATTACAACAAATGTAGTTGCATTAAAAAATGTATACTTAACATATTTGGACTAACCTGATGGGGTGTCTTCATCTGTTGTGTCGATAAATCTAACATCAGGATCGCTTATTGATAGATGCCGTCGTTTACGATTTACCGTAGTCAAACCACCATTTGGTCCGGTCAGCGCAGATATGACCGGCTTGGAAAAGCTTCCGATGGCCTTTGGTGGCAACTGCTGTGGTGTCTGCCCATGTATTATCTTAGGTTCATCTCTGCCTGTTTCATGACTGAATACAAAATATTCTTGTTATTGAAATAAAATGTTTTGTTTCAGGACAGAAAAGTGAGAGAAAGTGTGTTAGTGAGTGGGTATATGAGGAGAGGGAGTGAAAGAGCGAAAAAGAGAAAGAGAGAGAGAGAGAAAGAGAGTGAGAGAGAGAGGGAGTGAGAGAGAGAGAGAGAGAGAGAGAGAGAGAGAGAGAGAGAGGGAGAGAGAGAGAGAGAGGAGTGAGCGAGAGAAAGAGTGTGAGTGAGTGAGGGATGAGTGAAAGAGAAAGAGTGTGAGTGAGTGAGGAATGAGTGAAAGAGGAAGACAGGAGTGAGAAAGAGGAGTGAGTGAGTGAATGAGAGATGAGTGAGTGAGTGAATGAGAGATGAGTGAGAAAGAGGAGTGAATGAGAGATGAGTGAGCGAGAGAAAGAGTGGTGTGAGTGAGGGACGAGTGAAAGAGAAAGAGAGAGAGAAAGACAGAGAGAGATATGGAATATTAATTATATGAACACATATAAATTATATGAACTGCTCAAAAATGAATAGGGATATTGCCAATTTTGTAGTATGTACTTTCGCTAGCATTTTTATTTTAATTTAATTATAAATTGGATTAAAATTTATTAAAAATTATTATGGTTTTTACTGAAGGAAAATTTATTTAAGGTATTTTAAAAATAACAGAATAAAAGGTTTTAATTCCATAATTTTGCTTATTGGATACAATAAATTTTTTTAAAACAATTAATACCCTGTATAAAGTCCTCTGTTAGCTAAAACCTCTGTGCACCTGTTAATAAGGTTGTCACTAATTTCATTAGGAATTTCACTCTGCAGATATTGCAAGGCTGTTGTTGCAGGTCACCTGGCTGCGAATGGTGATTGAAAAGCCTACTCTGCAATGCATCCCATGTGCTCAATGGGATTGAGGTCGGGGGACAATGGGTGAAGGGGCAGATGGGAAATTCCCAGGTTTTCTAAACATTGATGAAAAACTTTTCTCTATGAGGTCTGGCATTATCACCCAGAAAAAAATCCCTGCCAATGAGATCCCTGGTTTGAGGGATGTATTCCTTGATAGTTTCATGGACATAACGAACTGCGATGAGGTTGACTTCAACAATATGGAGTCTAGTTTGTCTTCCAGTGCAAATCCCAGCACAGACCATTACACCGCCTACTCCAAATTGCACTGAAGGTAGCACAAACTGGGGCGTTGTATGCATCCCCTGTTCTTGGAAGACTATTCAGTGCTTGCTATCACTATATGGACATAAAAGCATTCCAATTCTCTCTTCTAGGCGCTTGCTGCACCATTTTCTCCTGAGTTGCTGATGGCTGGCAGTCACTGAAAGTCGTCTCAAAAGGGGATACGATGTACAGCCAAAACATCTTCAACCTCAATTACGATCTGGCAAGCACTATGGAAAGGGTTCCGGCTTGCAGCAATGACAATATTTCTGTCCTCCCTTGGTGTCGTAATGGGTTGAGATGAACTACCAGGCCTCCTATTGGCACTTCCAGTCTAAAGCCCGGGAGACGCTCTGAGAAATGCCAATTGCCTCTGCGATATCCACTTTCCGGTGACCTCGACGGCTCATTCTCACAATAATATTGCCAATGTCTGGTTCAAGATGATGTCTTCCCGTAGTTAAAGCGAATAAAACTAGATTAAAATGGAGAAAAGAGAAGAAAAGGTGTTTCTTTACAAAATGAGTAAGTATTCAGAAATCGTGAGACGCGGTCTGGTCTCACAATTTCTGAATAATTATTGATTAACTGTCACTAATCACCACACAAATGTGTCTTACCATAAGTAAATCCGTTATGAAAAATTAACATTTGTTTATTTTTGGTTTGTATTTTCTATTTTGTTTTATCCGGCTAAGAAGAATATATCTGTTAATTTAATGAAAATTAATAGAATAAGAATAAATTACAGATACTCCAATTCATTTTTAAGCAGTTTATATCTATTAACAAAGTGATGTGCGGTTTGTAATGCTGCTCCTATTTCCTAATATTTCCTTAGTGACCTTATTAAACCTTCCTCCTAATTTATGCATTCCTTAGTGTCTTCTTCCTTGTGTACACTATCCATTAAATGATATTGGTCATCATGATCATGACTACTTTGGTTGAATCATTACCTCACCTATTTCATGAAATTCTTTTCCCCCCTGCGATTCCATGTAGCAGAGTTGAGAAGACGAAGAATTTCAGAAATCTCATCCTTAATCTCAGATCAAGTTTGTGACTGCATCTACTGTTGTTTTTTAGTTTGCTAGCTCTTACCTGTATGAGGTTTCGCAATGTCTAGTATAAAAATAAAACGATCGCCAATTAGTACCATGTAAGGAATAACTTCTTTTGATAACACATCAATGTATCAAATATCTAGTAGGGAACCTCGATGAAGAACAAGTTTGTACGAACTTCCTCAGCCTTCCCAAACCGTAACACCACCACCTTCATTGCTTCTGTGTTGTGAGAATGTTGAAGTGATATATCACTCTCCAGTTTTCTCCAAAACATATCTCAGCTGTGTGGAGTTACAATCTTCATGGAGTCATTAGACCTGAAGATTGTAACTCCACATACATCTGCAGGTCGATCAACAAACATATCTCTCAGCTGGTCAGAAGACCTCAAACAAAACCTCGACTCATCCGAAAACAAGATTTTAGTCTCAGACCAATTGATAGGATTTCTTGCCAAACTTGAGCTGTGCCTTGTCAGAAATCCTTGGCCAGTGGCCTTCTTGTGCATAATCCTGCTTCTGGAACTCTTCGCTTTGCAGTGCGTAAACTGACAGTAAACATTTCTAATTTATTGTTTGATCCCAACAGCGGTAGAATGTCGATTTATGGAGTTGATTCGAAACAATAAAACGATAATCTCCGAGATGTGATACGATGGCAATCTGACCTATGCCTTCTTGAGTAGCCTCCAGTATCTTAGCGATGGAATATGCTTTGGACACTTTTTCTGGGAATGTTAAGCACCATGGCCACCTATGCTAGACTACTTTCATATTCCAACAATGCCACTACATTCAAGCTGAATCGGTATCACATGAAAACCATCACTCAAATTTGAAAATTAAAAATGATACAACATAAAAAATCAAACCAGGGGAACGTTAGAAGCTTTATAAAAAAACAAACAGAGAGATTGCGTTTTAGCAATGGCGATTTTTGTTAGTTATTAATTAGTTATATATTAATTATGAGACTGAAAGCACAAAACGTCAGCTTACCCGTTGAGATATTTTTGAATAAAGCATTCGTTGTTCTTCGGAGAGGACGGTTGCTTCCTTTCGAGTGTACGGTTTTCCTGCTGGTTGGACAGCTGACGGATGAAACCAGCCACTTTTTGTCTGAAACCGGGCATCATTCAAGGGAGATGAACTGACACTGACATAGTCGCTCAGGGCCGCAGACACAGCAACTGCGTCTTTTATCCTCCTGAAGAAAACTTCGTTTATAAGTCGAAAAACTTCGACCGACTACATTCGCAGCCAATAAGCCAACTACACATTTCGTTTATAGGCCTTCGGAAGTTCAGGCCTGCCAACGGAATCTGTCGCGGAAACATTTACCAATGGACGGTTTATAGCCTGTTCTGGCCAATAAACGACAAAACGCGCTTGACGAGTAGCTAAAGGATTTCATCATGGCATAAATGAAGATCATAATGAACATAAGTCCCAGTAGCTACCGACATTAAGAACATTACTTGCAGTCTTAAAGCATCTCGATCTTCAAATACTTCAGGTACTACAATGGATGTGACAAGTGCAATTCTAAATGGCGTAATTAAATTTAAAAAATATAAAACCTAGATGGGATTAGAGAACAAATAAGAATACAACAGTTACTTTATGGTCTTTTAAGTTCTCCTAAAAACTAGTAAGGTTTGTCTTACACTGGATGATATTTGAACGCCCCTGTTGTTTCAACTATCTTTGTATCATGGATGGTAGCGCGTTGCTGCTCTTTAGTTATTGTACCATCAATTATGAGACAAAAAATAACTCTAAATGAATATATTCATTACATTCATAACACCTCAGGCCCCAAATAGCTTATTTTTAGCATACTTCCATTCCATAGCCTACCCAAACCATAACACCACCACTGCCATAGCTTCTCTTTAGCTACAATGGATCGAACTTGGTTTGGAGAGGATGAGCCAAAATTTTGGTCTGAAGTAGTTCTTGGTGGTTTCACTGTGACCAGTAAAACTTCACTTTCCACCCCATTCCCATCAAAATCCCCCATCATGTGCTTCTCTGGTATATAAGGAGCTAAGTGCTAGCTCAAGTGGTTAGAGCATCAGCGTATTGAGCTTTTGAATTTGAATCCTGCTCATGACACTAGCTCATTCAACTCAACCAAGACCTTAGATCAAAATTATAATTGAGATAAAATAAAGATTGTTCATTTATATAATTATTTGTGTACATATTGTTCAAACCCTCAATTATCAATAACGCAGCATTTTGATAAACAATTAAGTCTATCCAAGGGTGCAGTTCATTCATACTTCGTTTTGAGAGGATGAGCCAAAACTTTGGTCTTCGTTCTTGGTGGTACTTCGCTTTCCACCCCATCACCCTCAAAATTTTCATTTTCCCCCTCAAAGTGTTTGCAGAGTGTACTCTCAACACGACACACAATAATGACACATCTACACATAAAACAAACACTTTGAGCCCTGAAGATGATCTCAATAAAGATTGAAAAGTTGGTGCGATAAAGAAAATGTTTTTCTAAAACCTACGTCACACAAGATCGCATCTCACGATCTCCAAATAATTATTAATTAACGGTCACTAAACACCATATAACAAACAATAGCGTTGATTTAGTATTATCAATCTGAAATTAAGAATTTTGTCATTGAAAGAACACTGTCTAATTATTAATGTTATTTCAACTAATTATTCTTTTTATGTAAGGTGAAAAAGTTAGTGTCATGAGCGTGATCCAAACCCACAAGCCGAAGGTTGTGGCACTAACTTTTTCATCTCAACCAAGACCTTACATAAAAAAGAATAATTAATTGAAATAAGTAATTTGTTCAATTAGACCACTAAACATAAATAGATTAATATTATTTATACATTGAAACACAAAAATAAAACAATGACAGTAGCAAAAGAAAAAGAGGAAACAAGCAACAACAACTAAACTAAAAACCTTAATTAATTGGTTATTCAGATATCGTGAGATGCGGTCGGGTCTTAATTAATTGAATGATATTAATTGGTCGAGGACCACGAAAATTAGTGAATTTAAAGAGGAAACAAGGTTGACCCTGCATTTGTGGACAATGAGTTATTAAAAAGAAGGTATTCTTACATTAATAAAAAATTAACCAAACAATTTGCAAAATAAACTTTGTGCTAATTTAAACAAATAAAATAAATTAAAACTTGAATGTTTTAATTGAAAATAATGTGAAAATCCTTTTCAAACAAAAAACAAATCAAATTTACAAAATGTTGTGTGATCGCCGTTTGATGTAAGTCAGCTGAACTTTGCTGAACCCCTAACCATCCATCAAATGCATTTCAGCATTGCGCCATCTTCAGCGAGGTACTCGGAGTGGAGACAGACCCAGTAAATGACCCTGTACTGGTTCAACATGAAAACTTGACAAAACAAATTTTTTTAGATTTTTAAATTTTATAACAAAGACCACTTGCCTACAGTATAAACAATTAGAAAAAATATGGTGATAATTATGCTGGAGAAATTTGGTCCTTTTTATAATTGAAAACTCTTTTGTGTAGTTGGGTGATTTTAATTAAATAAATAAAAAAATAAGTAGGTAATCTAAAGTAATTCCTGTCATACAGGAGGGCGTTAGGTTTCTCAACCATGTTTTCATACTATTCTTAATTTATATATTGTGCTTTGTACTTTAATCTGTAACTGAGGAGGATAAAAAAACATGTGCATAAGGCCTAAGGTAAAAAAAAAAATGTTACATCAACTACTGGATGTCTTAATTACAGACAACAATTAGTTGCATGTAATCAACTGAAATTCTTCCATCAAAAATAAAGGAAATTACTCGGCTACATACTACTAACCATCCCTAACCACAAAAAAAAGTGTAACTTCCAGCTCAGTGCTAACCCCAACAGGCTTCCAGTGGAAGTCTTCCACCTTCCTATAGTGAGGCTTCGGGAACGGCTTTGTGTGGCCCTTATAAATTTCATTGTGATAATGCAAGTGATGCCAAAGAAAAATGTTTATACAGGTTTAAGTTCATTATTTTATCAGATAAAAATTCTCCTTGAAATGCAAAATGCATGGGTAGATCCACTTAGCCATGACAAAAAATCCGTAGTATGAAAACTCAATAGTGCACAGCTGCAAAACTGAGCTCAACCGACAAATTATCCAATATCTAGTGGTTGAAATGACAGTTGCAAGTCTATCAACCGATAGAAAACCATTTACAGTATGAAAAGCCCTGTGCATTTTATATTTCCGAAAACTTTTTATCGTATGATGTAAGGCTAACATATTTACTTCAAATTAAATCACTGTAGGTTGAACTGGACCCTTGGACGTGATTCTTCATCAAAACGCTGGGTTATTGACACTTTAAGGGTTCAAAACAATAAATACCTAAATAATTCTAGAAATCAACTATCTTTATTTTTTATCAATTATAATTTTTATCTAACCCCTTGGTTGAGTTGAATAAGTTAGTGTCATGAGCAGGATTCAAATAAAAAAGCTCAATATGCCGGCGCTATAACCATTTGGGGGGATGGGGTGGAAAGTGAAGTTTTACTGGTGACAGTGAAACCACCAAAAACTACTTCAGGCCAACATTTTAGCTCATCCTCTCAAAACGAAGTATAAATGAACTGCACCCTTGGATAGACGTAATTCTTCGCCAAAATGCTGGGGTATTGACAGTTTAGGGTTCAAAACAATAAAAACCTAAATAATTATAGAAATCAACTATCTTTGCTTTATATCAATTATAATTTTTATCTAAGGTCTTAGTTGAGTTGAATGAGCTAGTGTCATGAGCAAGATTCAAAACCCACGACTGTTGGCTCAATTCGCCGGTGCTCTAGTGAGCTAGTACTTAGCTCCTTGTATTCTGGAAGCACATGAAAATTTTGAGGGGGATGGGGTGGAAAGCAAAGTTTTACTGGTGACAGTGAAACCACCAAGAACTACTTCAGACCAAGGACTAAGGAGAAGCTATGGAGGAGGTGGTGTGATGATTTGGGTAGGCTTTTCTATGGAATGGAAGGATGCTAAAAAATAAGTGATATGGGACATGAGGTGTTATGAATGTAATAAATATATACAATTAATTTTTTTTTTTTTGGTCTTACAATCAACAGTACAATAACTAAAGAGCAGCAATGAACCAACCATCAATCATACAAAGAAAATGAAACAACAACAACATTAAAATGTCATCCAATGTAAAACAAACCTTAGTTTTTAGAAGAACTTAAACGACCATAAAGTAAGTTTTGTATTCTTGTTTGTTCTGATATTCTTATATAATCTTTTTTCCTTGTATATGTTATGATCGCAATTGATCATATTTATTATTTCAATTAATTATACTTTTTATGTAAGGACTTCGTTGAGAAAAAAAGTTAGTGTCATGGATCGGGGTGACGATAGTCAAGTGGTTAGGGCAGCAGCGTATGCTGAATGTTGTGGGTTTAAATCCCACTTATGGCACTAAATTTTTCATCTCAACCAATACCATAGATTAAAAAAGATAATAATAATAATAATAATAAAAAATAAAAAAAAGTGAGAAAGAGCTTCCCATTACATTATGAGTGACCATGGATTGACCAAGTGGTATTAAGTGCCATTTTAGTGCTGTACACTCTCTCTTGAATATGAGTATTAAAGGAGAGGCCAGGAGTCGGAGTTACACCCAAGTATTTGTATGAATTTACCACTTCAATTGCCTCAAAGCCAAAGTTCCATTTTTCACTCGACGATATCTACCGCCTTTTCTAAAATTCATAATTTTTGGTTTATTTAGATTAACATTCATGACCCTTGATCACAATAGCCCTTAAGAATGTTAACAATTTTATTCTAATTGAAGAAATTTTTCAAAATTGTAACAATGTCATCAGCACACATAAGTGTTTTAATAGCAATAGCAGTTCGATCCCCCCCCCCCACCAAACAGGTAAATGTATGTAGGATGTATTATAAATGGAAAACTGTTTTAGTTGGGCTGTAAAATAAAGTGATAATTAAAAAAAAAGACTTTATTATTATTATAATAGATTTTTTTTAAGATTAAAAAAACAGTCATGGGCTCATCAACAATTTTTAATCAAAAATTAAAACTACATTACAATTATGTATGTATAAATAATCATACAAAAGTGAACAAAATATAACTAACATTTATTAAACATAGGTTGTTATGAGTATTTTTTTAAACTGGTTTTGAAATCAGGCCTTTTTGAATATATAGTTGTGTAGGCAATACTTCATTTAACCTACATATTGAAGCCAATATTTTTAAACTAGTTTCTTATCAACAATATTTTTAATAACAAACTATCACGACTGAAAAACTTTATATTACATTTTTTAAACTATTTTCTATTTCACAATGGAAAGTATAAATTTTAATTTCAAATAAATTTAAAATGAACATACAAAAAACATTTGGATGGACTAATCAAATTTCTAGAAAAATATCACTGCCTTATCTGAGATCAAGTTGATTCAAATTGGCAAAACTTATTACATGAGGAATTCTATTAAATAAAATTGGACTAATTGTTGCAAATTGCAAAAAGAAAAAAAAATGCATTTTACTATTTAAGATTTACTTTAAATTGCATGTTCACTATTCTAAAATATGTTTTTTATGCATATAAGTTTTATTTTTTAAATTTTAATCCATCATTTATCGTTTTATTTTGTTTTGTTTTACATTTATGGTTAATATTGCACTTACAAAAAAGAAAATAATGCAGTGTTTGTTACCAGTAATTTACTGAATATGTAAAACATTGAAAATAAACATACTTTTCAAAAAAAAAAAATTAAATGAACTTATTCCTTATAAAAAATTAACTTATGAAATTGCCATAGTGAGCAAATTACAGGTGAAATGGCCACAAAATATATGAGCCTTTATCTCTCTTATTTACAATAAAAAATAAAATTAAAAAAATCATCGATAATAAGTAACCATCTAAAAGGAATGCTTAAAAATCACAGTCTTATTGTTATTAGTTTACAATAAAAGTCTAAAAAAATAATAGTATATTAACAAAAATTGAATCATAAACATAGAATCCATATAAAATTATATAATCTACAATATATATAATTATTGTACACAAAGGAAATCCTTATGTTATCAATATGATAATGCAGTATGTTCTATTATTTATAATACATAAAATCACACTATTTACATAAAATTAATCTATTCAGGCTATGGCAAAGGTATTGGTTACCATTGAGGCAACAGTTGCTTCACTCGGTTCATCTGAATCGGAATCAGAACTCCTATCACTGCCTGACCTCTACAATTAAAAAAATTAAATTAACGTCAGAATCGCTTTCAATAATTAATTTAATTATTTGGTCTTAATACAATACCTTAATTGGTATAGCAGGAGGGTTGCTTTCTAAGGTTGAGCTCCTGCTATGACTTCGCTCGGATGTGTTCTCTTCATCAGAGTGTGCTGTTACAGGCATGCATTTAAATCTCCTGATCCTACATCCTGGGCCAATGGGTCTTCGGCCAGCACTGTAAACATAATAAAAATACCAAAGTTCAAAAAGGAGTAGAAGAAATATTACCAATATTTAGCCAAACATAGAGGGGTTTTTTTGAAGGGGGGGAATAAAGCTTTATTAAAGACGGTCTTAGAACGCAGGAAGGTATTGGGTCAGGAGTATTCGGTCCTGGAACTAAATACTCAGAACCCATGGGAAAATAAACCAACTTCTAGGTTGAAATACATGCAATTGAGAGGTTTACCCAGTTCAATTTGAACCAAGGATACAAACATAAGAATATCACTATCGTGTCAGATAGCCAAGCAGCCATCAAAGCGTCATAGTTCAAACATCACTAATCATTGCAAAACAAAACTAAATAGATTATGTATGCAAAATAAAATCACCCCCTACTGGGTCCCAGGACATGTGGGAGTAGTGGGCAATGAGAGATCAGATGCCCTTGCAAGGAAAAGGGCCGCCATGCTGCTGATAGGTCCTGAGCCCTTCTGTGGCGTAGGGATTCTCACTATCAGCAGAGGGATTCTCACTTTCAATGAGTACCATACACAAAAGGACGAAATGAAGAAACAGTGGAATTCACTCATTGGACAAAAACAATCAAAAGACCTAGCAAATTCGGAAAGAAAGAAACAACAGAATGGATCACAGAAAACGCATCTGAGGAAGGTTCGCATTACCCAACATGGCACATCAGTCTTACCAACACACCTATAAAACAAACTGTGGCACTACATTTGCCTGGAGAAATAAGTGTTTTGGGATGTACGACCGTAGAAGAGATCAATGAGCACCACAGACAAAAGGATGAAATGAGGAAACAGTGGAATTTACTCATTGGACCAAAACAATCAAAAGACATAGCAAATTTGGAAGGAAAGAAACAACAGAATGGATCACAGAAAACGTGGAAAAACATCGAATCCTAACAGAACGCATCTGAGGAAGACTGGCATTACCCAACATGGCACATCGGTCGTACCAACACCTGTAAAACAAACTGTGGCACTACATTTGCCTGGAGAAATAAGTGTTTTGGGATGTACAACCGTAGAAGAGATTCAACCACTGAAATCAGGCCTACTAATCAAGTTTCTCTATGAACTAGGGACTCACCTGTGTGATATAAGTAGGGGATATAATAGCTCTTAAAGTGCACGCCCCTGAATGATACATCTAAATCTTTCTTATTTACAAGAACAAAATTACAATTTAAATTATATGAGATTTTAAACTTGGTTACCTTTTTCTTCTAAGCCCGTATGAGTATGGGAGATGTGGAGGTTCATCATCTTCACGACTTGAACTGTCTTCAATCCCAACACAGTTACCATTCGTCAGGATCATTTCGTTAACTTTTCTTCCTAGTGTTTCTAGGTGATCATCATCACTCAACCTTGTGTTACAGTTGAGCTCGGTTTCCTATTAATGACAATTTGAATGAAAATTTTTGAATTTTTTTTTTAAATTTACTTCACTTACATTGTAATTCTCATAGTCATGTATGTAAGTGTCTATTTGATCTGGTTGCCTGACATTTCCATTGATGCTATCCGTTGGGCTCGGTAACCTGGATTCAGCTACAGAACTGGCGCCGGATCCAATTTCCATAGGCGTGCTGTCTGTCTGGGTTTGAGAACTCGTAAAAGCACTACCGCTAAGCCTATCACCTACTGAAATACCACTGCTTGTCCTGTCGCTAATTCTCCTTGAGTTTCTATCCGCCTCACTTGTTGAACAATCCATATCCACAGGGGCATCATACTAAATTTGTACATAATTCAAAGCGTTAGATTTTAATTTTAAACAGTAAATGCTTTCATTTGGGGACACTAAGAACATACCTCATACTCATTGGTGAGATCCCAGTAGTCAGCTGCTATCACAGCTCGTCTTGGCCTCATTCTCCTTGGACGAAGTGGAATTGAGAATGTTTGAACAATTCCATTCGACCCCATTTGAGCGCAAAGTGAAGATTTTCCACCACAAGCTTCTTTCTGAGGCGAAAGTAGTTCTCTTGACAAAGCTAAAGATGTAGTACAGTGTACTTCTTCTTCACGTTTCCTGTACCTCTCAGTTTGCATTTTTGCTGTTATCTTTGGACACCTCTTTTTTCCTTTAAGAGATTTTTCTAACCTAAAACATTGTAATTTCGATTAGGAAAGCAACCAAAAAAATGCAAATTTGTTGCAAAATTACTAAACGTACTTTCTTATTTCTCTTTCCCTTTCATCAAGTTCTATGAAAGCAGTAGCAAGGGCTGTATAGAGATCATTTACTCTTCCTAGTTTTCTTTCATAATGTTGTCTTATATCTTGAGCATGTTTCAATTCATCATTTCTTTTTTTAATGAGGTCAACTTCGTCAAATCTTGGCATCTGATTGCTCTTATTTGTCTCTATTTTTGACATTTGATCTCTTACTTCTTGTTTCCAAGTGGCCTGTTAACACAATGCATGAAATAATAAATTTATTTTTAACTTTTGAAATAAAAACAAGTTTTAATAACTTTGTCTGTCAGTTGTATTCTGAACTTTCAACTCTAAACCATTTAAAGCAGGTTCTGTCATTTTACCAATCTATCAATAAAGTTCCACTGATTATTCTTTTTATCTAAGGTCTTGGTCGAGATGAAAAGTTAGTATCATGAGCAGGATTCGAACCCACGAACTTCAGCTAAACACACTACCGCTTTGACCTATCGTGACTTCAATCCATTAAAATTAATTGTGTGCGAATTCCGCTCATGACACCAATTTTTTCATCTCAACCAAGACCTAACGTAAAAAGAATAATTAATTGAAATAATTAAAATGGTCAATTAGACCACTAAATGCCTATTTTATAAGTTTGTGAAATATATAAAACGTATAAATACAATACCTGCGTACGAAAATACTTTTCAGGAGTGCTTGTTATCACATCTGATGCTGCGATGTCGAGATGATGAAGGATGTGCTTAAAAGACGGCCTATTTTTAGGCTTCGGAGACCAACACTGTTTCATAAGGAGCTTGAATCCCTCAGGGCACGAAGAAGGAATCGGCAGCTGAAGAGAATTGCTTCCGACCCCCCAGATTATCGCAGACGAGTCAACGTCTTTGTAAGGTGTCTCGCAGGTAAGCAGCTCCCATAATACAACACCATAAGACCTATTAAAAAAAATTGCTAATTGCAAATGTCCCAAAGAGTAATAACTTGTGTGTCTATATAAAGACTCAAGTATGATTTCTGACTATTAAAAATAGTTTCAGATTAACTGAAATATTGTTTTTATTTGATATTTGAAGAAATAACATGATTTCCCTTACACCCGTAGTGCCATAAGCTCTTTAATATTCTTTTTAATATAATAACATCAAATGGAAACATAACAATTAATTATTTTATTGTTCCTAGTTTAAATATTTTTTATAATCATTTAGATATTTTTGTTTTGAAATTATCCTCTTTTAAGAGCATTCGTGTTAGGAATTTAACTTTTATAGATTAAAATGAAAGTTGTTTTTATTACCAAATATCGACTTTTTCTGAACAAGGTTCATTTCTGATTACTTCAGGTGCCATCCAGGCGATTGTTCCAGTAAAACTCATTTTTGTACTGATTTCATTCCATTGTCGACATGTTCCAAAATCACTTATTTTTACACATTTTTGTTCTCCTATAAGTACACTAAAATAGAAATGAAAGTAAAAATTTAATAAAATGCTGTACAACTTAGTCAATAATGCTACTTACTTTGGACTTTTAAGATCTCTGTGTATAATTTTATTCGAATGAAGATAAAGCATTCCTGATGCGATTTGTTTTGCCCACGAGATGAGTCTTTCTGGTGAGATTTCTTCGCCGTCTTTTAAGAGGTTGTATAGTGGCCCATATGGGCAGTACTCCATTACAATGCAATAGCATGGGGCTTGAGTACACACTCCTTTGAATTGTACTATATTCGGATGATTAAGTTTTCTAAGGTGCTTAATGTCAGTCTCCTTTTGTTCTCTAACTTTTTTAACAGCAACAGTCTCATTTTTTAGTTTACCACTGAAAACAGCTCCTTGGGCTCCAGACCCTAGCCACTCGAGGTCACTAATACTTTCAAAAGGGATTTCCCAGTCATCTATACACACAGAAAAATACAGATAAAATCAGCAATAAGAAACTGTCTTTTAATTAAATTTAGTAAAAAAAAATATCCATACCATGATGAGAAGCCTTGATTTCATTAGAGGTAGCTTTATTGATGATTGTAAATACAGGCCTAAGACAGCCTAAAAGTCCTTCAACCCATGATCCTCTTTCAACAACCGTGTGATCGACAGTGGGTGAATTATCAGATGAAGAATCAGTCACTACTCCTTGTGGTCCGGTGCCCAACTCCTCCAACCCTTCTTGAATGCATTTTATGCTAAAATAACAAAAAAATAATTTTATCCTCGTTTTATTTGAAAACTGTAGGATTAACTACAACAAGCAAATACAATGGCAATAGAGAAATATAATTGATTTGTATTGCCTTGAGCGGAGAAGTCACTCACTAGTGACACTCCGATATAAGTAAACCTAAGCATTCATTTGTCACTCGCTATCACTCAAGCTGAGATCACGAGGCCATCAGCATTTCAGTCGGTATAGCATACTATCGAGAAGTGTGGCTGAGGAAAGTTTGGTTACTAAAAATAAATACAAAAATAAATAAAACTAGTTTTACAGTATAGAATATAATGATTTTGGGGTTGGTTCAAAATTACTCTTCCTTTAAACTGTTAAATATTACTTAACATAAACATTAGCTGATATTTAGTCAGCTACGCTGATGTATTTGGATTGCCCAGCCCTACTTTTGTAATGGGCAACTGGCTCTTAATTTGCTTTACGTGGTTAAAATGTCTAACAGGTTGTTTTTCTTTAACTATATTAATTTTTATTGTATTTAAAGCATGCACACAATACTTAATATATTTGAAAACTTTTTTTTTAATAATACAGACATAGGAAATACATTTGATACGATGAAACTGTTTTCATTAATTCTGCACTCTCTGCAGTTGATAAGATTTTGGCAAAATAAACGTAAATAAACCCTGCCATTCATGCTAATAAATTACATTCACACTACCCCAGATTACTCGATAATCCTCTGGGTTACAGGGGATAAACCTTGCCATTTACACTACCTGAGAGTGCTAGATATTCCTCTGGGGAATTGAAGACAAACCCAGCCATTCACGCTAATAAATTACAATCAACTACCCCCAGAGTATATTCCCCGTGATAACTGGGGATAAACCTTTCCATTCGCGCTAAGAAATTACATTCACACTACACGAGAGTGCTAGATATTCCTCGGAGTAAATGGGGATAAACTCTGCCCTTCACGCTAATAAATTATATCCACAAATTCATTCATATTACCGCAGAGTACTACTCCGGGTAGTTGGGGATGAACCCTGCCATTCACGCTAATAAATTACATTCACACTACCCCAGAGTACTCGATTTCCCTCGGGGGAATCGGAGACGAACCCTGCCATTCAAGCTAATAATTTACATTCGCATTCACACTACCCGAGAGTACTTGATATTGCTCGGGGTATTTGGAGATAAACCCTGTCATTCACGCTAATAAGTTACATTAATTCATATTACTCCAGAATATTCGATGTTCCTCGGATAATTGAGGATAAACCTTGCCACTCGTGCTAATAAATTACTTTTATTTAGATTACCCCAGAGTACTCGATATTCCTCGAGGTAATTGGGGATGAATCACTCCCATTCACGCTAATAAATGACATCCACAAATTCATTCGTATTACCGCAGACTACTTGATACTACTCCGGGTAGTTTGGGATGAACCCTGCCATTCACGCTAATAAATACATTTTTAATTAATAAGTAGTAAAATTAATAAATACATTTGAAGACAAACATCATTTTTGTATTAATAAAGTGAAGTTATTTTTCACAATCTTTAATGCTTAACGCTGTCTGGTAATTATTAGCGATAGTGGGGAAAGAACAAAGCCGGATTTGAAAGTTGTGTCAAGGACTCAGTTGAGTTGTTGCGCTGAGCCCACAAACCGTTAAGTATATATAAAAGGAAATGTATAATATAATTTCAAACCTAATCAGATTATATTAATCTATCATAAAAAATTATTATTAAACTCGAATCGAACGATAGACTGGGTTTATTCAGATAATCGGGTCACGTACGTTTTCCTCGCAGTATGTTACATAAACAGGTTTTTTTAATATGTAAACGTAGGGCTAGGAAAAAAAATCATCAGAAAATTTCAAGGAAACTTCCTAAACTGCGCACCGATCTGTTTATTGTGGTTTAACGTGCTTATGTGTTGATTAAATGTCAAACAGTCTATTCCTATCTAACATGCGACACGGACGAGATTATTTCTGATTTTTTTTGCGACCAGAACTACGCTAGGTTGCTAGTAAAAATAATAAAAAACATTAACTATAAAATAAGCAACAATCAGACAGCCACGCCACGAAAAATGAACCGTTAGGTTTTCATTGCTTTCCATACTAAATAACTGAACCATCAGAAAAAATAGGTAAAATTCTTAAACGAGAAGGTTTAACCTAATTGAAATAGATGTATATAGAAAACCTACAAATCCAGTCACCAAGATACCAGCAGATTCTTCTCACCCATGGACCCGAAAAGCTGTTGGATTTTTTTGACCATAGACCGTATAACGAAACTCCCATTATAACTGCTAATTAATTAATTGCAAACTATTAAAATATTAGTTAAAAACAATAGATATCACGAATATTTATCCATAGGTTGCTAGTAAAAAATTACATTAAAAGAAGCAACATTCGGACTCAGCAACCCCTCCAAACACGAATCTTTGTTTTCGTTGCTTGCCATACAAACTGAATCATCAAAAAAAGTAGGTAAAATTCTTAAACGGGAAGATTTTTGACTAGCTTTTAGAGGTACGCGTTCACAACATCCTCTCAAAACCTAAAGACAAGATTGACAACTTTCTTTCAACAAGAAAAAGCAGGATTTACAAACTTAATTGTAATGATTGCAGTATTAAATATACAGTAAAAAGCGACAGAGAAATTAAAATGAGATTTAAAGAACACTTTTCTAAATCGTACATATTTTCTGTATTTAAGGACCATCTAAATGAAATAAAAACATAATTTAAAATTTAAATACAAATATAAATTACAGTTTCAATAAAAGGAGGGAACTAGATTGGTTTGAGAACTTTAAAATTTAAAAAGTGATCGTCAGTCATTAATGTAACAGCTTATTTTAAAAGAAGTCAGTGTGATACATATTTAAGTCCTTCAGAAAAAAAATTGATAACCATGTTGGTCTAAAAATGTAAGAAATCTTTGTTCTGTGTATAGGCGTTAACTCACCTGAGGAAGGATTAAATGAAATCCGAAACGAGTGGATTAAAAAAGTTGGTTGTTGTTTTTTGGAGATGACCTTATTATCCCACCTTCGAGAAGGAAAAATCAAAAGTTAAACTGTTGAGGTCGAAATAAAAAACATTTGACATACAAATTAATTTCTAATTTAAAATTATATTCTTACAGTATTTACAAAGGTAATTATTTAGTAGTGTTGTAATTTACGTTTTTCATACTTTCAAAAAATTGAGCTTAAAAACCAGCTTCGGCGGGTTCAATCTTACAATTCATGTCGAGAAACTCGTTTTTAACTTATTCAATTTAATATTTAGCGTTTAATGTTTGAAATCAGGTTCGTCGAAAACAACAAATGTGAGTCTGAACTATCTTTCAAAGAGATTAAACAACATATCCAACCGTTATCATTTCTATTCGTCAAATAATCCTGCTGTTTTGTTTTGTTTTGTTTTTTCAGCTGTGCAGTGCCGAATAATTTCTGTTTTAGTGGAGTAATAATAACGCAGAAGAGGTTCTGCTATAGTGTGTTATTTGTTGAGCTCATATTTAGTAAATTCTCTCTTTCCCCCTATAGTGGTCGTTTAAGTACTCTTAACGTGGAGGCAGTTAGTTTTATTACGTGCTGCTTTACAAATGTGTTTTTTCTCTGTTCTACTATTTAATTTTATTATTGTCCGAGATGTTTTCCGGCTTTGGAACCTTGTCAGTTACTTATTCAGAAATCGTGAGATGCGGTCTGGTGTGATGTAGGTTTCAGAAAAACATTGTGCCAACGTTTCGATCTTTATTGAGATCATCTTCAGGGCTCAATAAAGATCTTAACGTTGGCATGATAAAGAAAATGTTTTTCTGAAACCTACATCACACCAGACCGCATCTCACGATTTCTGAATAATTATCGATTAACGGTCACTAATCGCCGCACTTTTAAGTTATTTTTCTTTAACGAAACCAGGTCCTATTCACAAGACGTGTCCTTTATTTTGAACTGTAGAATCACCAAAAAAAAAAAAAAAAAAATTGGCACAAATCCGTGACCTCCCAACCTGGTCGTCCTCTTGTAAGTTTGAATTTTTAACAATATTGGATTGAACCGACAATTATAAAATGTTCATTGATGTTCGATATGTTGGTCTATCACTTTTATTACATTTTCATGAAGAATTTTGTAAGTAATATTTCGCTAGTCTTTTTTTGTTTTATGGGTAGAATTGTTTACAACAGCCAGACATGTTTAAGGTTTGTGATGTCCTTTAAAATTTCAAAATGTATGAAACTGCAATGTTATTATTTCTTTTGTTAAATTAATTTCCGGGTCAAATATAATGTACTTAATATGTGTAAATACCTATGGATTATTTTGGTTTGTCAGAACCGTTTCGGCATTTCACCATCTTCTATCGTGTATAAAAATCGACCAAATTTTGTTATATTAGGTATATTTTGTTAATAGAATATGGTTTGTATTTAATATACGAACAACCTGTCCCTGTTCAAAAAGCCAACTCTGAAGATGACGAAATATAGAAATTGACGTATAAACTTTCTTTTCTCTCATTTCCTAACTCTCAGGAAATTTCAGTAATGATGAAAGATCAAACTACTTCATCTATTTGCCTAATGTAGCAATTTTATGCTTAAATCTTAATTTTCCAATAACTTACGTCATATGGTCATGTTTTAGACGTTTTCCTTATTTTTATTAGCTGCATTTCAATGTAGATTAGGCATCTGACAAAATGATCATTCTTTAACTCTCAGAAAATATCGGTAGTGATAAAATGATATGAGTGCTTGCACTAGGAATGTCGGTCAGGCATCAGGTCGTCGAAATTGTCAGTCAAAAAATTAATTTACATCAATTTCTGCGAATGTCGGTATCTAAGGTTTATATAAGGCTAGAATCACGGCAATGAGGTCAAATCCAAGTTTTGACCATTTGTTTTTCGTAGCTAGGGCCTATTCACAAAAAGTGGCGGATGAGA